GGGCACCTGTAATCCTACCTTTACGAGAGGCTGAGGCAGGAAAATCGCTTGAACTCAGGAAGCAGAGGTTGCAGTGAGCTGAGATTGGACCACAGCACTCCAGCCTGGGCAACAGAGAGAGACTCTGTCTCAGAAAACAAAATAAGTAAATTAAAAAAAAAAACTTCACAATTTAAAATTTTATAATTTTTGCTTTAAATATTTATTTGTCTTTAAAGAATTTGAAAGAAGTGTATATAATTGTGTTGAGGGTTACCAAGAGCATTCCAGGTTTGGCGATTGCTAGGTGGCCACACTGGACTCAGCTTGTAGTTATACTCACAACTGAAATTTATTACAGTGAAAGCATACAAAGTAAAATCAGCAAAGAAAAAGGATCAGGGGGCAAAGACTAGAGGAAATTAGGTAAAAAATTCCAAGAGTCCTGTCCTAGTAGAGTCATATAGGACCTGCTTAATTCCTTCAGCAGTGTGGTGTTACAGCATGCACAAAATGTGGTCTACCAGGGAAGATCACCTGATTCTTAGAGTCCAGGGTTTTTATTGGAGGCTATTTTATTCTGTCATGTAGACAGAATTTCAGCCACTGAAATTTCAGACTCCAGAGGCAAGCAAATGTTCAGCATAAACCATAGTGTTTCTGCAAATAGTTTAGGTACAATGAGCCACCCTTATAACCTAGTGAAGTTTTAAATCTGTATAGGGAAGTGCTTACCATCCAGGTTCCCAGAGGCTAGCAAAAGGTCAACCTTAGCAGTGGGCCTTCCTACAGAGAGCAGTCTCTGACCTGCTATGCTGACTGTTCTGTGCAATAGTCTTTTGTATCTATTTATATGTCTACCATTTCCAGTAGTCTTCATTCCTTCCTACAGAAGCAGGTTACCCTTTAGTGTCATTTCCATTCCCACGAAGAACTTCCTTTAGCATTTCTTGTGGTGTAGGTCTGCTGGTGATGAATTTTTCTTAGATTTTTCGGAAATGTCTTTATTTCCTCTTCATTTTTAAAGGGTAGTTTCATTGGATGTAGACCTTTGTGTTGAATTTCTTTCTTTTAGCCCTTTACTCTTTATTTCATTGACTTCTGTACTTTATAGTTCTTGATGGAAAGTCAGTGCCATTCGTACTTCTTTTCCCTTCCTATATATAATGTATTTGTCTGTTCCCTGACTGTTAAAAAGATACTATCCAAGACTGGGTAATTTATAAAGGAAGGAGGTTTACAGTTCCATATTGGCTGGGGAGGCCTCAGGAAACTTAAAATCATGGCGAAGACAAAGGAGAAGCAAGGACCTTCTTTACATGGCAGCAGGAGAGAGAAGTTCAGGCATGGGAAATACCAGAGGCTTTAAAAACCATCAGACCTTGTGAAAACTCACTCACTATCATGAGAACAGCATGGGGAAACACCCCTGTGACCCAGTCATCTCCCTCCCTCCAAACGTGGGATTACAATACAAGATGAAATTTGGTTGAGGATACAGAGCCAAATCATGTCAAATGTGTTGTTTTTCCTCTCATTGCTTTCAGTATTTTATCTTTATTTTCAGATTTCACAAGTTTGCCTATGATATACCTGCATGTTTGTGTGTGTGTGTGTGTGTGTGTGTGTGTGTGTGTGTGTGTGTATGTGTATGTGTGTGTTTTAATGGGACAGTGTCTTGCTCTGTTGCCCAGGCTGGAGTTCAGTGGCATGATCTTGGCTCACTTAAACCTCCACCTCCTGGCTTCAAGCGACTCTCTTGCCTCAGCATCCTGAGTAGCTGGGATTACAGACATGAGCCACTGTGCCCAGCCTCATTTTTTTTTTTAAGACGGAGTTTTGCTGTTGTTACCCAGGCTGGAGTGCAATGGCACGATCTCGGCTCACCGCAACCTCCGCCTCCCGGGTTCAGGCAATTCTCCTGCCTCAGCCTCCTGAGTAGCTGGGATTACAGGCACGCACCACCATGCCCAGCTAATTTTTTGTATTTTCAGTAGAGACGGGGTTTCACCATGTTGACCAGGATGGTCTCGATCTCTTGACCTTGTGATCCACCCGCCTCGGCCTCCCAAAGTGCTGGGATTACAGGCTTGAGCCACCGCGCCCGGCCATTTGTTTTTTTATCCTGTTTGAGGTTTATGAACTTCTTGGATCTGTAAGTTGATATCTTTCACCAAATTTGAAAATTTTAGCTGTTATTTCTTTCCAATATAATTTCTTCTGTTCTTGTAGGTCTCTAATTACCTATCTGTTAGATTGCGTGGTATCCATTCTCTGAGGCTGTTTTTTAAAATTTTTTAGTCTTTTATATTTCTGCTCTTGGGATTGGATAATTTCTCTAGATCTGTCTTCAGGTTCATTGATGCTGCTGCCATCTCCAATCTTCTTTTAATTCTTTTCAGTGAATTTTTGTTGTTGTTGTTGGAAACAGAGTCTTGCTCTGTCACCCAGGCTGGAGGGTGATGGTGTGGTCTCGACTAACTGCAACCATCACCTCCCAGATTCAAGTGATTGTCATGCCTCAGCCTCCTGAGTAGCTGGGATTACAGATTTGCACCACCATGGCCCACTAATTTTTGTATTTTTAGTAGAGACGGGGTCTCACCATGTTGGCCAGCCTGGTCTCGAACTCCTGACCTCAAGTGGCCCACCTGCCTGGCCTCCCAAAGTGCTGGAATTACAGGTGTGAGCCACCGCACCCAGCCACAGTGAATTTTTTAGTTGTTACACATTTAAGCTCTAGAATTTCCATTTGGTTCTTTTCATAGTTTCTCTCCTGAGGTTCCCTATCTACTTACTCATTATATGTATGTTTTCTTTTAAATTCCTGAATGCATTTAAGCTGCATTAAAATAATTGTTTAAATTTAGGTCATTTTAGGGACTGTTTCTATTCCCTGCTTTTGTCCCCCAGTGTGGGTCACATTTTTCCATTTTGTTCTCCTTGCTCTTGATTTTTTATGAAATAATGGACACTGTAGACATTGTAAAGTGTCTGGATTCTGTTGTATTTCTCTGAAGTATTTTTTTGTGTTTTGTTTGTTTGTTTTGGTAGCTGGCATTTAACTTAACTGTGTTCAAAATTCCAAACTCTGTATCTCCTGTTGTTGGCAGCAGTTATTCTTTGCTGGGTTTTATTGCATACATTTGTAATTTTGTAGTCAGACATGGAATCTAGTGGCCAGTTAAGGATTTAACTGGGTTTCATATGCAGATTTTGGGGTACCTTCTGTGGCTTCTTCTCTTGCAAGATTTCCTGTCTAACTTCTAACTTTCTGGTGATACAGGTTCTGAACATTTTGCTGTAGCTCCTCAAGTCAGTGAGGCTCTGACCTCCTGCCACTCCAAGATACAGACTGGGTAGTGTGCTCTCAGGCAAAAGTTAGACTTGCAAATCTCAGAGTTATAATTCCTGTATTTTAACAGTAGATTCTTCCAAATTCTTCCTGTCTTTCTCCCTCCCCCAAGGACTGTCAGAGATTATATTTTGTCTGGATTTTGTAATGTGTTATCTGCAGGGAGATTAGTCATGTAATGGGTTCCTAAAATGTACCATATCCATTTGCTGTGCCCAGACCTTTCTGATGGTTTTTTAATGGCCATGAAAGAATCTGTTACCTGGGGATAGGTTGGAATGGAATGAGTAAAAGACTGGAGGTAGGGTGTCAGGTCATTGTAGTACAGCAGGCAGTAAGTATTGTGAAAATCTATGACTGTTACTATATTATAGTAATAGATCAAACACATACAATATAGTTGTTTTTCTACAAAATACAAAATTCTATTTTCTTGTGTAAATCTTCAGATCGTTCATTGTTCAGGTTGTTCATTGCTGGAGTTATATCAATGAGATATTGTATAGTTCATTTTTAGTTTAACAAACACAATTTTTTCTTCCATACATTAAGAGTTTCGGCCGGGCGCGGTGGCTCAAGCCTGTAATCCCAGCACTTTGGGAGGCCGAGGCGGTGGATCATGAGGTCAAAAGATCGAGACCATCCTGATCAACATGGTGAAACCCCGTCTCTACTAAAAATACAAAAAATTAGCTGGGCATGGTGGCGCGTACCTGTAATCCCAACTACTCAGGAGGCTGAGACAGGAGAATTGCCTGAACCCGGGAGGCGGAGGTTGCGGTGAGCCGAGATCGCACCATTGCACTCCAGCCTGGGTAACAAGAGCGAAACTCCGTCTCAAAAAAAAAAAAAAAAAAGTTTCATAAAGTGTTGATACTGCTGAAACCTTTCTTGTCTTTTTTTATTCATCCCTGAAAAAATGATGTAAATGGTAAATGAGAATGGGAGAAAAAAATTCAAAATGAAAAACTCTTTTGTAAATAAATTTTTGTCCTATATTAAAGTAATTGAAGATACTTTCGGTTTCTTCCCATCATTTTCTGAAGACCTGAAATTGGCAAAACTGGAATTTATGTAAGAAACTACAAATAAGTGACAGAGAACCCTAAAAGCCTATTGACAGGTACTGTTTCCACAGTGATTTAGTCAGGTGACTTGAATTCATGGTACTAGTCTTCCAAATGATAGCATTTGCTTGGGAGATCTTTGAGGTTTAAGAATGCTAAAATGGGCCGGGCACAGTGGCTTACACCTGTAATTCCAGCACTTTGGGAGGCCGAGGTGGGCGGATCACAGGGTCAAGAGATCGAGATCAGCCTGGCCAACATGGTGAAACCCTGTCTCTACTAAAAGTACAAAAATTAGCCAGGCATGGTAGCACATGCCTGTGGTCCCATCTACTTGCGAGGCTGAGGCGGAAGAATCTCTTGAACCCACGAGGTGGAGGTTGCAGTGAGCCGAGGTTGTGCCACTGCACTCCAGCCTGGTGACAGAGCAAGACTCCATCTCAAATAAAAAAGAATGCTGAAATGGTGGAATATGGGCCAAGGGACTTTTTCTCTGTGTATTGTACTTGAAATTTAGTTTGTTAATTTTAACTTTAGAACTCAATGGGTTAATCTATATGTATTTTAAAAAATTTTTCAAATTTGTTCCCCTTTTTCAGGTCATAAATAAAGTTCATCTTAAGGCAAATCATGTAGTAAAGAGAGATGTTGATGAGCATTTAAGAATCAAGACTGTTTATGATAAAAGTGTCGACGAGTAAGTACACCATTATATTGTCATCTTTTTCATTATTAATCTAAATGTTCAAGATATTTTCACCTGTTACCTGAAGTTTTAAAAGTCTATAGATAGCCGGGCACGGTGGCTCACACCTGTAATCCCAGCACTTTGGGAGGCCGAGGCGGGTGGATCACGAGGTCAAGAGATCGAGACCATCCTGGTCAACATGGTGAAACCCCGTCTCTACTAAAAATACAAAAAATTAGCTGGGCATGGTGGCGTGTGCCTGTAATCCCAGCTACTCAGGAGGCTGAGGCAGGAGAATTGCCTGAACCCAGGAGGCAGAGATTGTGGTGAGCCGAGATCGCGCCCTTGCACTCCAGCCTGGGTAACAAGAGCGAAACTCCGTCCCAAAAAAAAAAAAAAGTCTATAGATAAAACTTAAAAAGGACTCATGTGGCTTCAAAGTGGAATTAAGCTGGCCGGGCGCGGTGGCTCAAGCCTGTAATCCCAGCACTTTGGGAGGCCGAGGCAGGTGGATCACAAGGTCAAGACATCAAGACCATCCTGGTCAACAGGGTGAAACCCCATCTCTACTAAAAATACAAAAAGTTAGCTGGGCATGGTGGTGCGTGCCTGTAATCCCAGCTACTCAGGAGGCTGAGGCAGGAGAATTGCCTGAACCCAGGAGGCGGAGGTTGCAGTGAGCCGAGATCGTGCCATTGCACTCCAGCCTGGGTAACAAGAGCAAAACTCCATCTCAAAAAAAAAAAAAAAAAGTGGAATTAAGCTGAAAATGCATTTTAGTCTGAAAATATGAAGGCCATGGAATATGATTAAAGTCTATATATCATGAATAATTTTCTTTTTTCCATCTTCCTTTCCTGGTAAATCATGAATAATTTAAACAGAACAAATGTGGATCTACTTGGATGTGGACGGTAATAGACCCGAAAGTTCTCTTCAGTTAAGAACTTGTGTTACCAGAAAGAGGTCCTGTTCCAGACCCCAAGAGATGATTCTTGGGTCTCTAACAAGAAAGAATTAGAAGCAAAGCCATAGAGTAAAGTGAAAGCAAGATTATTAGAAAAGTAAAGGAATAAAAAAATGGCTACTCCATAGGTAAAGCAGCCCGAAGGGCTGTGGTTGCCCATTTTTTATGGTGATTTCTGAATTACATGCTAACCAATGGGTGGATTATTCATGCTTCCCCCTTTTTAGACCATATAGGGTAACTTCCTGACATTGCCACAGCATTTGCAAACTGTCATGGTGCTGGTGGGAGTGTAGCAGTGAGGATGACCAGAGGTCACTCTTGTCGCCATCTTGGTTTTGGTGGGATTTAGCTGGCCACCTTATTGCAACCTGTTTTATCAGCAAAGTCTTTATGACCTGTATCTTGTGCTGACCTCCTGTCTCATCCTGCGACTTAGAATGCCTAATCATCCAGGAATGCAGCCCATGAGTTCTCAGCCTTATTTTACCCAGCCACTACTGAAGATGGGAGTCGCTCTGGTTCAAACATCTCTGACACTTGGAGGAAAAAATAAGTACTAATATAAACAATAATAAGAAAGTTTATGAAATTATTAACCAGAGAGATTAGTCTGATTTTTATTTCATGTAAGTGGGATCCAGAAAACAGATAAATGATGAATCTACAGTAGTTCATGAAGAGCTGTTAGGAGTGGTTGATGTCTTTCATTATCCTTAACATTCCAAATGAATGAGATGACATGATCATGCTTAGTTCCATGATGTGGCACAGAGTAAACTCTCAAATACTCAATGAGGTAAGTTGAAATTTTGGAGGACAGTTATTTTATGCATATAGGATTCTTTGGGGCTCTTGACAGATGCATTCTGAACAGATGAGATAGTGCTACACCTCTGAGAGGTAATTCTTATGTTTTTTTGTCATTATTTTCAGGTTGCTCCCTGAGAAAAAAAATCTTGTAAAGGTATGTAATAAATACTCATAGGTTGAATTGGACATTTACAATTTTATTATATGTAAATTCTACTTTAGTAAAGTAAAATATATACATGACTTTTGTGAATGACTGACTAAAAGGTGTTGGTAGTGAAAGTATTTATCAAAGGTGTCTTTGTGATGCACTCCTGAAAACTTCCTTGGTATTTGGCATTAAATTAGTCATTTTAAAATAATTTGTTAATTAGTCTTCTCCTTTTATTGCTTGCTCTCTCAGGTTTTTGGGGAGCAAATCATGCAGAGAATAGGGTGAAAAAAACAATTTTTGAAATACATTGAGAGCACTGTTCTCTTGGTGGAAATGTTTATTTTCCTGAAGATTGACCTGATAACCACATTAGATTTTTAACTATATGGAGACACACACACACACACACACACACACACACGCACACATGCAGACACACAAAGCCAGTTCACTATGGGCCACAGAAATTGGTGAGTTTAATTAAACATAAGATTTTCTTAACATAAACTATTTTAGTGTTGGAATCATCAAAGTCAGTCTGTCATTCGTAGTAATCTAGATTAATATAGTTGAGATATATTGCAGTTTTGTTAAAGGTGTAGTATCGAAGGAAATTAATATTTAATTAAAAATAAAAAATAGTTGAGATATATGTTTTCTGGTTTTCTATTTAAATGGGGTTAGGGAAGGAAATGTCTACCTAGTACTCTTTTCCAAAGCTGAACTAGAAAATGGGGAAATTCTTTTCCTACTGGACTTCCTCTCTTCCTACCCCTTGCTTTACAACCTTGACCAGCTAATATCTGTATTCCATAATTATAAAGTGTCTTCCTTTTGTCCCCTTAGTCATTAATATCCTGTGCTTGCTTGTTTTAAATATAATTTATCTCTTCCTTATAATTCTGACTATTTTTTTTAACGTTTATTTAGAACAAGCTTTTCCCACAAGCTATTTCTTATTTAGAGAAGACTTTTCAGGTCCGTAGACCTGCTGGCACTATCTTACTTAGCAGGTATGTCTCATTAAATACAGATGATTTTTCCTCAGCCACTCAGTACTCTGCCTTTCCCATTCTACAAATATGGCAATATGTGAAGCTTATACTAGAATTTTATTATGCTTATTCTTAGAGACCAAACTGCAAGGTATTTTAAAAGAATAAAAACGCATCTGCTGGGTAATGATTCTTTCCCTGATCTTTCATTATGTGATGGCTTACTGAATTTTTTCTGGGATATGGTTGTCCTCTGTTCTCCAAATCCGCTTTTCCCCATATTCATGTGTATACAGTGTTAGCTTTATAAAGTATTTGGGTATTTAAAAACTCAAATCATTTAGAAACCCAAATTTCCTATGGAACCCAAATTCTTTCTTAGCCTACTTTCCTAAGTAAAATAGTAATGTTATTAATGAAGTAACATAGCAGCTACCAGTTGATTACCATGTTTTTAACTGCTATATAATATTCTCTTTTTTTGTATTTAAACTTTGATGTACAAATGAACTAAAGACAATGTGCAACAAACCAATACCTCCGGAAGGAAAATGACCCTCACAGATACTGCACCGGAGAATGTGCCGTGCACACGAAATGTGGCCCGGTTATTGTTCCAGAGGAACATCTCCAGGTATTTCATCCTGCTCTTAGCGATGTTTTCACACTTGAGGAGATTTTAATTTGTGAGTCTCACATCATTTTTACAGATTCAAGGTCAAAGTCGTAGTAGGTTCCTTGGTCTACAAAAAGTAATCACAGTTAGATATGCTGATTTTATTCTTTCATTAGCTTTCAAGTGAGTTTAATTATATTTTCTTTCTTTACTCCTCCCCACAGGCCTCCCCACCTCTATTTATGTTGATCTGCTGAATCAGTTCAGCTTAGAATGTTATCTTTCTCTTCTAAAATCTCATTTGGCCAGGTATATACCTCAGTTTTTTAAAGGACAGTCTGACATCTCTTAAGATAAAATGTATGTGTGCTACAACCCAACCTAGAAATTTATTGCATAAAATACTAATGGCTGCGTAATATATGTTCAGAGATATTCTTTGCAAAACTATAAATATGCCTATTTAGAGTATTAGTTAAGTTATCGTAGGAGAATACTGTACAGTTGTTAAAAAATGAAGTAAATCTCTATGAACTGACTTGGAAAGAAACTTAAGCTCTTACATGAAAAAAAAAGGGTGCAAATCTTTTTATTTTTAGCCCATTTTAAAAATATTACTTTTTTAAATTGCATTTTAGGTTTTGGGGTACATTTGAAGAACATGCAAGATAGTTGCATAGGTACACACATGGCAGTGTGATTTGCTGCCTTCCTCCCCTTGACCTATATCTGGCATTTCTCCCCATACTGCCTCTCCCCATCTCCCCACACCCTACTGTCCCTCCCTCATTTCCCCCCAACAGACCCCAGTGTGTAGTGCTCCCTTCCTGTGTCCATGTGTTCTCATTGTTCAACACCCGCCTATGAGTGAGAACATGCGGTGTTTGATTTTCTGCTCTTGTGTCAGTTGGCTGAGAATGATGGTTTCCAGGTTCATCCATGTCCCTACAAAGGACACAAACTCATCGTTTCTGATGGCTGCATCATATTCCATGGTGTATATGTGCCACATTTTCCCTGTCCAGTCTATCATCGATGGGCATTTGGGTTGATTCCAGGTCTTTGCTATTGTAAACAGTGCTGCGTTGAACATTCATGTGCATGTGTAGAATGATTTATAATCCTTTGGATACATACCCAGTAATGGGATTGCTGGGTCAAACGGAATTTCTATTTCTAGGTCCTTGAGGAATCTCCACATGGTCTTCCACAATGGTTGAACTAATTTACACTCCCACCAACAGTGTAAAAGTGTTCCTATTTCTCCACATCCTCTCCAGCATCTGTTGTCTCTAGATTTTTTAATGATTGCCATTCGAACTGGCGTGAGATGGTATCTCAATGTGGTTTTGATTTGCATTTCTCTAATGACCAGTGATGATGAGCATTTTTTCATATGTTTGTTGGCCTCCTGTATATCCTCTTTTGTAAAGTGTCTGTTCATATCCTTCACCCACTTTTGAATGGGCTTGTTTGTTTTTTTCTTTTCTTTTTTTTTTTTTTTTCTGAGACGGAGTTTCGCTCTTGTTACCCAGGCTGGAATGCAATGGCGCGATCTCGGCTCACCGCAACTTCCGCCTCCTGGGCTCAGGCAATTCTCCTGCCTCAGCCTCCTGAGTAGCTGGGATTACAGGCACGTGCCACCATGCCCAGCTAATTTTTTGCACTTTTAGTAGAGACGGGGTTTCACCATGTTGACCAGGATGGTCTCGATCTCTCGACCTCGTGATCCACCTGCCTCGGCCTCCCAAAGTGCTGGGATTACAGGCTTGAGCCACCGCGCCCGGCGCTGTTTTTTTTCTTATAAATCTGTTTTAGTTCTTTGTAAATTCTGGATATCCACCCTTTGTCGGATGGGTAGACTGCAAAAGTTTTTTCCCATTCTGTTGGTTGCCGATTCACTCTACTGACTGTTTCTTTTGCTGTGCAGAAGCTGTGGAGTTTGATTAGGTCCCATTTGTCTATTTTGGCTTTTGTTGCCATTGCTTTTGGCGTTTTGGTCATGAAGTCCTTGCCTACGCCTATGTCCTGAATGGTTTTGCCTACACTTTCTTCTAGGGTTTTTATGGTGTTAGGTCTTCTGTTTAAGTCTTTAATCCATCTGGAGTTAATTTTAGTATAAGGTGTCAGGAAGGGGTCCAGTTTCTGCTTTCTGCACATGGCTAGCCAGTTTTCCCAACACCATATATTAAACAGGGAATCCTTTCCCCATTGCTTGTTTTTGTCAGGTTTGTCAAAGATCGGATGGTTGTAGATATGTAGTGTTGCCTACGAGGCCTCTGTTCTGTTCCATTGGTCTATATCTCTGTTTTGGTACCAGTACCATGCTGTTTGGATTACTATAGCCTTGTAGTATAGTTTGAAGTCTGGTAGTGTGATGCCTCCTGCTTTGTTGTTTTTGCTTAGGATCGACTTGGCTATGCAGGCTATCTTTTGGTTCCATATGAAGTTTAAGGTGTTTTTTCCAGTTCTGTGAAGAAGGTGATTGGTAGCTTGATGGGGATAGCGAGCTCATTTTATTTGAAAGTATGGAAACACAGAAAATAAAAAATTATCAAACAGTCTGGAAGTATACACATATTAAATCTGGATGTATATAAAAATGTTAATGGTGTTCTTTAAGAGATTGTTGGGGAAAGTGGTTTTCTTTGGTAAGTTATGGAGATTTTTGTGATGTTCTGATTTTTCATATTGAATATTACTTATATATAAAAAAAAAATTAAGGCCGGGCATAGTAGCTCATACTTGTAGTTTCAGCACTTTGGAAGGCCAAGGCAGGCAGATTGCTTGACTCCAGGAGTTCAAGACTTCCCTTGGTAACATGGTGAAACCCTGTTTCTACAAAAAATTAGCCAGGCGTGGTGGTGTGTGCCTGTGGTCCCAGCTACTTGGGAGGCTGTGGTGGGAGGATTGCTTGAGCCGGGGAGGTGGAGGTTTTGGTGAGCTATGATCTTCCCACTAAACTCCAACCTGGGTGACAGAGTGAGACCCTGTCTCAAAAATAAATGAATGAATAAGAATATCTCAGATTATGCCTAAGCTAAGCTATTGCTTAAAAAAAAAAAAAAAATACAAGGCCCGGTCTGATGGCTCATGCCTGTAATCCCAGAATTATGGGAGGCTGAGGTGGGCAGATCACCTGAGGTAAGGAATTCAAGACCAGCCTGGCCAACATGACAAAACCCTGTCTCTAATAAAAATAGAAAAATTAGCCAGACATGGTGGCGGGCACCTGTAGATCCAATTCCTCTGGAGGCTGAAGCAGGGAGAATTGCTTGAACCTGGGAGGTAGAGGTTGCAGTGATCCAAGGTCACACCACTGCACTCCAGTCTGGACAACAGAGCAAGACTCTGTCTCAAAACAAACAAACAAACAAAATAAATAAATAAATAAGAACACAGCATGTTGTCATTAACCAGTCACTGTACTTTACAGTCGGTCTCTTGAACTTATTCCTCTAACTGTAAACACGTATTCTTTGACCAACATCTCCTCAACTCCAGCCCCTTACAGTAATGGATTTTAAAAATTATAAATGCATGTGTTAGAGAAGGAAGAATAAACAACGTGTATTTTCTATTAAATGAAATGAGAATTTGTTTTTTTTTTCCTCTATAAGCATTGCTTATACCTTAAATAATAACAATTTACTAATTTTTCTGTTTCTGATTTGGAGATTATGATTATTTGGGAATTTTGATAGAAGTAGCTTTCAAAAAAGCAACCATTACAGAGGCAAATAAGATTTGCCGGGCAGGACGTGGTGACTCATGCCTGTAATCCCTTAATTCTTGCACTTTGGGAGGCCAAGATGGGAGGATTGCTTGAGGCCAGGAGTTGAAGACCAGCCTGGTCAGTATACTGAGACCCCATCTATATATATCAAAAAAAATTTTTTTATAACAAAAGATTTTCTTAGAAGATTAGAAACAAGGGTAACATCATGAGATGACTTTGACTTTACCTTATATACCTTTATATTATTTGAATTTTTAACAAGATGTGAGTTATAATAGGCAATATATTTCCATTAGATAAAAAATTTTTTACCACTTAGTTTAGACTTAACTGTAGATTGAAAGACAGTTGCAAAAGAAAGTTCCTTATAGGAAAATCCCTTCATCTAGTTTCCGAGTTTTTAAACCTTCTATATTTCTGTCTTTTTAGCATCCTGCTTGGTTGGCCTTCCTTTGTCAGGTTATAGGTTTATGATCATTTTATGTAAAGTAGACATTTCAGTAAAATAAATCCAGAATTAGAGCTAGGTATTAAGTAGACAAGGAGGTATGGATTTTGATATAAGTTTAGAGATAATAAAGGTACAATTGTACTGTGTTTGCAGTATAGATTTTACTGTAAGATTAAGTGCCACTGTAGCTGACTTTGTCTCTGGTCTGGCTTTCTGTTGTCCCCTGTGGGTGCAGCAATGCAGGGTCTACCGTGGGGGTAAGTGGCCCCATGGAGCAGTGGGTGTGCCAGACCAAGAAGGCATCCCGGATGCAGACTTTGTACTTTACGTTGGTGCTTTGGCCACTGAGAGGTGCAGTCATGAAAACATCATCTCTTATGCAGCCTACTGTCAGCAGGAAGCAAACATGGACAGGTAAACTTTCCTCTGAGACTCAGTTTCTAAGGTCTAATATGGGAACTCTTATAGCAAACTGTTTTTTTAGTGGCGTCAGGACAGTGATTAGACTGTTACTAATGTGGTGACCCAAGTTTTTAGTCAAAGTGAGAGAAAAGTCAAACACTTAATTTGACTTTTCTTTCTGCCATTCCTCTTCCATTTTGATCCTATTGTTTTTGCCAATATTCCAGAGAACAAGTCTGTTGTCAAGTGGGCCTGGTGCAGTGGCTCACGCCTGTAATCCCAGCTCTTTGGGAGGCTGAGGTGGGAGGATCACTTGAGCCCAGGAGTTCGAGACCAGCTTGGGCAACACAGACCTCATCTTTTCTTTTCTTTTTTTTTTTTTTTGAGACGGAGTTTCGCTCTTGTTACCCAGGCTGGAGTGCAATGGCACGATCTCGGCTCACCGCAACCTCCATCTCCTGGATTCAAGCAATTCTCCTGCCTCAGCCTCCTGAGTAGCTGGGATTACAGGCACGTGCCACCATGCCCAGCTAATTTTTTGTGTTTTTAGTAGAGATGGGGTTTCACCATGTTGACCAGGATGGTCTTGATCTCTTGACCTCGTGATCCACCCGCCTCGGCCTCCCAAAGTGCTGGGATTACAGGCTTGAGCCACGGCGCCCGGCCCATCTTTTCAAAAAATAAACAAAATTAGCCAGGCATCGTGGCATGCTCCTGTGGTTCCAGCTACTCAGGAGGCTGAAGTGGGAGGATTGCTTGAGCCTGGGAGGTTGAGGCTACAATGATCTGTGATCATGTCACTGCACTCCAGCCTGGGGAACAGAGGGAAACCTTGTCCCCCACAAAAAAAGAAAAACAAAAGGCCAGGTCCGGTGGCTCATACCTGTAATTCCAGCTCTTTGGGAGGCTGAGGTGGGAAGATCACTTGAGCTCAAGAAGTTGAGACTAGCCTGGGCAACATGGTGAAATTCCATCTCTAAAAAAAAATACAAAAATTAGCCAGGAGTGGTGGTATGTGCCTGTAGTCCCAGCTATTCAGGAGGCTGAGATGGGAGGATCACTTGAGCCTGGGAGCTGTAAGTCGCAGAGAGCTGTGATTGTGCCACATGCACTCCAGCCTGGGCCACAGAGCCAGACCCTGTGTCCAAAAATAAATAAATAAAAAGTCTACTGTCAAGAGAATTTTCTGTCCAGGTGACTACCACTTTAAGGAAACAATTTGAACTTTAATTTTAGCACCTTCTATGCTAAAACTGTTAAAATGTTAATAATGACTGTTCATCTAATATCATTTGTTATATGTGATTCACTTAGTTAAATATCACTTGAAAATTCAGAGTTCTCTTTATTTACAAAAGATTTCAAAAAATTTTCCTGTGAAGCAGCCCAGCCTTGAAAAGTTATATATGCAGAAGATTTCCTGTCGCTTACCAGACAAATTAATTAAAAGCCGTGGAAATTGCCATATGTCTCAGAATAGATTGTATGTAACATTCTGAAATCTAGGTGAGATTAGATTTGAGATTAACTGACTTCAGAAAGAGTCAGGTAATTTTGTTTTTGAGATGGAGTCTCTCTCTGTCACCCAGGCTGGAGTGCTGTGGCATGATCTCGGCTCATTGCAACCTCCACCTGCCTCATTCAAGTGATTCTCCTGCCTCAGCTTCCCAAGTAGCTGGAACTACAGGCGTGTACCACCACACCGGGCTCATTTTCATGTTTTTAGTAGAGATGAGGGTTTCAGTGTGTTGGCCAGGCTGGTCTCTTAACTCCTGACCTCAGGCGACCTGCCTGCCTTGGCCTCCAGAGTTCTAGGGTTTTGACCAATTCATTAATTCTGTGTTAGAGTTTGAGCCATTTGACCAATAGATAGATGTTTAACACCTTAGCAAAGGTCCTTCATGCACGTGAATTAGTTATACTGACTTCTCCTAGATTTGTTCTGAGAAAAAGCAGTTATCTTTTTTTTTTTTTTTTTTTTTTTTTGAGATGGTGTCTCGCTCTGCTGCCCAGGCTGGAGTGCAGTGGCGCGATCTCAGGTCACTGTAGCCTCGACCTCCTGGTTAAAGCGATTCTCTTGCCTCAGCCTCCCGAGTAGCTGGGATTACAGGTGCATACTAAAACATCTGGCTAATTTTTGTATTTTTAGTAGAGACAAGATTTCACCATGTTGGTCAGACTGGTCTCAAACTCCTGACCTCTGGTGATCTCCCTGGCTTTGCCTCCCAAAGTGCTAGGATGACAGGGATGAGCCAGTGCCCCTGGCTTTAAGTTATTCTTTTTCAGGGAAGTGAAACCTTCCCTTAGTGTTGCTATATTGCATTAATTCATTTCATGAATATTTGAGTGGCCAGCAGACTAGGTAAACAAGATGTACATGTGTACCTGCCTCATGGAACTTATGGATTACAGAGGGAGACAGGTATTAAATATTCCTGCAAATAAATATGTGATTTCAAAGTATGATAAATACTTTGTAGAAAATAAATAGAATGTTATCACATAGAATAGAATAAAAGAGCTTGTAGATCAATCAAGCAAGGAAGACCTCTTTGAAAAAGGGAAACTTCAGCTGCAACCTGAACATTGATAGGCTTTAGCCAAATAAAGAGATGTGTGAAGAGCTTATGCAAGGCAAAAGCTCTGTGTACCTGTTGCTGTCAGAAGCCACTTCAGTGGACACTGTGTTGGAGGACAAGTTCTTGGAGAGGCAGACAGTATTGCTTTATTCTAAATGCTATGGGAAGCCCCTGAAGAGTTTTAAGCCTGGAATCCATTTTGTATTTTACAGGTCACTGTGGCAAATTTTAAACAAATGAATTGTAGTCATACTTTTTCTAATTCTAAGTCTGTTGCTATTACCTATGAAGAAAATATACAGTATTTAAAAAATTTAAATAAGATAAATGTACTTTGTAAATAGGCAATTATACTTGGATGATCTTTGCAGTATATCTATGTGAAATGTTAAGATAGTGGTAGGAGAACTGAGTTTGGGGTTGTTTAGCATTGTTCATTGGTCACAGCTTTTGAGAGACAGGTAGGTGCACGGTGGAACTGAATTACTCTGGACTCTTGAGTCCTAGGCTGCCCTTGGACTCTCAGGTTCTAGGCACACAGAGAGATGTAAAAGTGTGTAGATTCTAAATGGTGTAGAATTTGGAAGAAGATGGTGGGAAGGTAGAAATATTTATGTAGGCAGCGTTGGAGCAGGAGAAAGGGAATAGCAAACAGATAAGAAGGGTCAACAAATTTCAGCAGCCTGAGCCATTCACTGATTGCCCCATTTATAACTGGTTTCCCTCTCTGCCTGCTTGTCTCTGTGCCTGTAGATGAAATGCTGAAGTCAAATATGGATTTGCAAGTACAATGGTGTTAGAATTTGAGCCTTTGAGTTCATTCTTTTTTGGGCATTGTATTGGTATATTCCAAAAATTCACTTTGAAGTATAATCAATGATGCCCTTTTGTGGAAACAGGTGTTGATTTGCCACAGGAAAGCAGAGGATACATGTCTTGAAAGTAAAAGTTAGTAATGGTACAAAGTAACATTTGATATTTTGCAAAGATTTCTCTGTCCTTGAGCAGTGTTTGATGGAGAAGTAAGTGTTAATAAATATTGTTCTGTAATATAATTTAAAAATTCAATATCTGTTTTGACAGGCCAATAGCAGGATATGCTAACCTGTGTCCAAATATGATCTCTACTCAGCCTCAGGAGTTTATTGGGATGTTGTCCACAGTGAAACATGAGATTATTCATGCCCTGGTAAATTCTACTGTTACTGTTCTTTCCTTCATGCCTTGATTTCTGCTTATTATGTTGTCATTTTTATACATATATTGCATTTTAAGATGATGTGGATTCCTAGATTCATGTTCAATAAAAATACAAAAATTAGCGGGGCATGGTGGTATGCACCTCTGGTCCCAGCAGCTACTTGGGAGGCTGAGGTGGGAGGATGAGCCCAGGGAGGTCGAGGCTGCAGTGAACCAAGATTGTGCCACTGCATTCCAGCCTGGTGATAGAGGCAGACCTTGTATCAAACAAACAAACAAAAAGATTTATAAGGAATTTTCCTCTTTTAAAATTCTAAGATTTAAGAATTAATGATGCTGAAAGGACTATGAAAGTCTATAGATACGGCTGAACCCTGGGCTGCTGCTGCTTTTTGTTCCCCCTCCATGAAATGTTTTTATTTACAAAATCAGATTTGCTTTTTACTTGCTAATAGTTTTAGACCTTCCACAGTACTTTATCTTCAGCAGGGGTATAGTTTTAGCTTGCAAAAATAAGTTTCAGTAGTTTTATAGTAGAGAAGAACTGCCCTTTCATTTTTCTACTTTACAAATTTAAAAAAGTGAACTTATATAGAAGCCAGTGTATTGGCTTAGTCAGTTATGACACATAGGGGTGTGAGCAGAGAGTTTGTGCTTCAGAGAGAAAAACAAACCCATAAGAAAACCTATCCCGAGTGTCACCTCCATCAGAGTGCTTTCTTGCTTTATGTTATTCCATACTGGTCTATTTGTTCTTTAAAATATCGTCAATGACTGCTGCAAGGGGACTAATCTATTTTAACTAGTCTCTTCGTTAGTCATTTTAATCTTGGGTTCATGTTTTTTTTTTTTTTAAATCCCTCTATTCGTTTTACCTCTGAATTTATAGCTATCAGATTTATAAAAGTAACCTAGAGGCCTTGGTTATTACAAGTGAAACCCTGGGGTTTGTTATTGAGTTCATCATCAGCTCTTTCTCTATAGATATTTCACATCTCTGATCTTAAATAAATTTAGCCACAAATATTAAATATTAAAAACTAATTTGGCTACAAAGTTAAAGGTAGGATAATTGGTTCTTCATACATAAACTAAGCATTTTTTATATAGAGACATATTCCCTAATAATAAATTTCTTTTTTTTTTTCTTTTTTTGTGTTTTTTTTTTTTTTTTTTTTGGGACGGAGTTTCGCTCTTGTTACCCAGGCTGGAGTGCAATGGCGCGATCTCGGCTCACCGCAACCTCCGCCTCCTGGGTTCAGGCAATTCTCCTGTCTCAGCCTCCTGAGTAGCTGGGATTACAGGCACGCGCCACCATGCCCAGCTAATTTTTTGTATTTTTAGTAGAGACGGGGTTTCACCATGTTGACCAGGATGGTCTCGATCTCTTGACCTCGTGATCCACCCGCCTCAGCCTCCGAAAGTGCTGGGATTACAGGCTTGAGCCACCGCACCCGGCAATAAATTTCTTTTTTAAAGCATTTTATTATTATTATTTTTATGTGATTTTAAAAAAAATTATGCTTTAAGTTCTGGGGTACATGTCAGATCTTGCAGGACTGTTGCATAGGTACACACATGCCATGGTGGTTTGCTGTCTCCATTCCCCGTCACCTACCTCAGGCATTTCTCCCAGTGTTACCCCTCTCCAACCTCCTCACCTCCCTGCTATCCCTCCCCTAGCCCCCCAATGCCCAACAGACTCCAGTGTGTGACATTCCCCTCCCTGTGTCCATGTGTTCTCATTGTTCAACACCGGCCTATGAGTGAGAACATTTGATGTTTGGTTTTCTGCTCTTGTGTCAGTTTGCTAAGAATGATGGTTTCCAGATTCATCCATGTCCCTTTAAAGGACATGAACTCATCATTTTTTTTTTTTTTTTTTGAGACAGAGTGTTGCTCTTGTTACCCAGGCTGGAGTGCTGGAGTGCAATGGCACGATCTCGGCTCACCGCAACCTCCGCCTCCTGGGTTCAAGCAATTCTCCTGCCTCAGCCTCCTGAGTAGCTGGGACTACAGGCACGCGCCACCATGCCCAGCTAATTTTTTGTATTTTTAGTAGAGACGGGGTTTCACCACGTTGACCAGGATGGTCTCGATCTCTCGACCTCGTGATCCACCCGCCTCGGCCTCCCAAAGTGCTGGGATTACAGGCTTGAGCCACTGCGCCCGGCGAACTCATCCTTTTTTATAGCTGCATGGTATTCCATGGTATATATGTGCCACATTTTCTTTGTCCAGTCTATCATTGATGGGCATTTGGGTTGGTTCCAGGTCTTTGCTATTGTAAACAGTGCCGCAGAGACCATACATGTGCATGTGTCTTTATAATAGAACGATTTATAATTCTTTGGGTAAGATTGTTGGGTCAAATGGAATTCCTATGTCTAGATCCTTGAGGAATCTCCATACTGTCTTCCATAATGGTTGAGCTAATTTACACTCCTACCAATGGTATAAAAGTGTTGCTATTTCTCCACATCCTCTCCAGCATCTGTTGTCCCCAGATTTTTTAATGATCACCATGTTTTTTAAGGCACTATCATGGCTCACTGCAGCCTCAAACTCTTGGGTTCAAGTGATCCTCCCGTCTTAGCCTCCCAAAGTGTTGAGATTAGAGGGGGGAGCTTACACCTGTAATCCAGCAAGCAGTCCTCTCACCTCAGCCTCCAGAGTAGCTGGGACCACAGACACGCACCATCATGCTCTGCTAATTTTTGTATTTTTAGTAGAGATGGGGTCTTGCCATGTTGCCCAGGCTAGTCTTGAAACCCTGGGCTCAAGTGATCCTCCTGCCTCAACCTCCCAAAGTGCTTGATTACAGACATGAGCCACTGTGCCCAGCCCTTCTGCTGCCACTTCTGATAACCATGTGAAAATCCTTGTAGGGAGGAAGTAGTGATGACTTACCACTTTCTCAAATTAAAGGAAAGGAAATTGTCAGCTAAATAATTATTTACATGTATATTTGAGCATATACAAATGTTTGTCTTCACAGTGATTTGTAATTACATAATGTAAGCAATTGTCAGTCTTGGCCATGCATTTCAGTGTACTGCTTCTGTCTTTTCAGCTCTTGTCCAGCTCTTTTTCAGAACTGATACCTGATACATTTTCAAAAAAGGAAGAAGGGCTGGGAGTGGTGGCTCTCACCTGTAATCCCAGCACTTTGGGAGGATTCTTCTATATATATAAGAAGGCAAAGATAACTTTAAAATGCAGACAGACTTTCAGAACCATTTTATAATGTGTACACACACACAAACACACACACACACACACACAGCAGACGAATTAACAACACAACAGCTGGTGCTCTTTATGGTTTTAAAACTCTGATGGTACCTGTATATATAATTATAATTATAGAAATATTTACCTAAAGTAATTTGAATTTAGAATTTATAAATATGGAACACTGAATTTTTGTTCAATTACAATGTATGATAAGTTCCTATTGCAGTATTGGCATGGTGCTTTTATGTACCAGTATCTGTGCTCTCCTTTGATCACAGACCTGTAATTAGCCTTGATATTTTTCCCTTTAAGACATTTTGAACTTTTTCTTATAGGGTTTCTCTGCTGGACTGTTTGCATTCTACCATGATAAAGATGGAAATCCTCTCACTTCAAGATTTGCAGATGGCCTCCCACCTTTTAATTATAGGTATTTTTTATTTCTATTCTTGTTCTCCTCTTTTAGGAGGGTGCTAAGACTAGAATCTGAGAATCATAGCATATTAGATGCCATAAATAATAATATCTTTATGGCAAACCCAAGGAAATTATAGATATTAAAACAAAATAGGATATAAGAGGCCATTTTATGGAAAACATAACTCATGACGTAGGCAATTTTATATAATGATGTAAGTCAGGAGGGGAGAGAGAGACCCACACACAAGAAGCATTCCTTTGTTTGTTTGTTTTTTTTAATTGCATTTTAGGTTTTGGGGTACATGTGAAGAACATGCAAGATTGTTGCATAGGTACACACATGGCTGTGTGGTTTGCTCCCTTCCTCCCCTTCACCTATATCTGGCATTTCTCCCCATACTTCCTCTCCCCATCTCCCCACCCCTACTGTCTCTCCCCCATTTCCCCGCAACAGACCCCAGTGTGTAGTGCTCTCCTCCCTGTGTCCATGTGTTCTTAATTGTTCAACACCCACCTATGAGTGAGAACATGTGTTTGCAGGTTCATGTCCCTACAAAGGACACGAACTCATTGTTTTTTATGGCTGCATAGTATTCCATGGTGTATATGTGCCACATTTTCCCTGTCCAGTCTATCATCGATGGGCATTTGGGTTGGTTCCAGGTCTTTGCTATTGCAAACAGTGCTGCAGTGAACATTCTTGTGCATGTGTCCTTATAGTAGAATGATTTATAATCCTTTGGCTATATACCCAGTAATGGGATTGCTGGGTCAAATGGAATTTCTATTTCTAGGTCCTTGAGGAATCACCACACTGTCTTCCACAGTGGTTGAACTAGTTTACACTCCCACCAACAGTGTAAAAGTGTTCCTGTTTCTCCACATCCTCTCCAGCGTCTGTTCTCTCTAGATTTTTTAATGATCGCCATTCGAACTGGCGTGAGATGGTATCTCAATGTGGTTTTGATTTGCATTTCTCTAATGACCAGTGACGATGAGCATTTTTTCATGTGTTTGTTGGCTTCATGTATGTCTTCTTTTGTAAAGTGTTTGTTCATATCCTTTGCCCACTTTTGAATGGGCTTATTTGTTTTTTTCTTGTAAATCTGTTTTAGTTCTTTGTAAATTCTGGATATCCACCCTTTGTCAGATGGGTAGATTGCAAAAATTTTTTCCCATTCTGTTGGTTGCTGATTCACTCTAATGACTGTTTCTTTTGCCATGCAGAAGCTGTGGAGTTTGATTAGGTCCCATTTGTCTATTTTGGCTTTTGTTGCTAATGCTTTTGGCGTTTTGGTCATGAAGTCCTTGCCTATGCCTATGTCCTGAATGGTTTTGCCTAGACTTTCTTCTAGGGTTTTTATAGTGTTAGGTCTTCTGTTTTAAGTCTTTAATCCATCTGGAGTTAATTTTAGTGTAAGGTGTCAGGAAGGGGTCCAGTTTCTGCTTTCTGCACGTGGCTAGCCAGTTTTCCCAACACCATTTATTAAACAGGGACTCCTTTCCCCATTGCTTGTTTTTGTCAGGTTTGTCAAAGATCAGATGGTTGTAGATGTGTGGTGTTGCCTCCGAGGCCTCTGTTCTGTTCCATTGGTCTGTATCTCTGTTTTGGTACCAGTACCATGCTGTTTTGATCACTATAGCCTTGTAGTATAGTTTGAAGTCCGGTAGCGTGATGCCTCCCGCTTTGTTCTTTTTGCTTAGAATTGACTTGGCTATGTGGGCTCTCTTTTGGTTCCATATGAAGTTTAAGGTGTTTTTTTCCAGTTCTGTGAAGAAGGTCACTGGTAGCTTGATGAGGATAGCGTTGAATCTGTACATTACTTTGGGCAGTATGGCCATTTTCACGACATTGATTCTTCCTAACCATGAACATGGAATGTTTCTCCATCTGTTTGTGTCCTCTCTTATTTTGTTGAGCAGTGGCTTGTAGTTCTCCTTGAAGAGGTCCTTTACGTTCCTTGTTAGTTGTATTCCTAGGTATTTTATTCTCTTTGTGGCAATTGTGAATGGCAGTTCCTTCTTGATTTGGCTCTCTTTAAGTCTGTTATTGGTGTATAGGAATGCTTGTGATTTTTGCACATTGATTTTGTATCCTGAGACTTTGCAGAAGTTGCTTATCAGTTTCAGGAGATTTTGGGCTGAGATGATGGGGTCTTCTAAGTATACAGTCATGTCATCTGCAAATAGAGACAATTTGACTTCCTTCTTTCCTATTTGAATACCCTTTATTTCTTTTTCTTGCCTGATTGCTCTGGCTAGAACTTCCAATAATATATTGAATAGGAGTGGTGAGAGAGGACATCCTTGTCTAGTGCCAGATTTCAAAGGGAATGCTTCCAGTTTTTGCCCATTCAGTGTGGTATTGGCTGTTGGTTTGTCATAAATACCTTTTATTATTTTGAGATACGTTCCATCATAGCCTAGTTTATTGAGAGTTTTTAGCATAAAGGGCTGTTGAATTTTGTCAAAGGCCTTCTCTGCATCAATTGAGATAAATCATGTGGTTTTTGTCTTTGGTTCTGTTTATGTGGTGAATTACATTTATAGACTTGCATATGTTGAACCATCCTTACATCCCTGGGATGAAGCCTGCTTGATCATGGTGGATAAGCTTTTTGATGTGCTGTTGCAATCGGCTTGCCAGTATTTTATTGAAGATTTTTGCATCTATGTTCATCATGGATATTGGCCTGAAGTTTTCTTTTCTTGCTAAGTCTCTGCCAGGTTTTGGTATCAGGATGATGTTGGTCTCATAAAATGATTTGGGAAGGATTCCCTCTTTTTGGATTGTTTTGAATAGTTTCGGAAGGAATGGTACCAGCTCCTCTTTGTATGTCTGGTAGAATTTGGCTGTGAACCTGTCTGGGCCTGGGCTTTGTTTGGGTGGTAGGCTCTTAATTGCTGCCTCAACTTCAGACCTTGTTATTGGTCTATTCAGGGTTTTGACTTCTTCCTGGTTTAGGCTTGGGAGGATGCAAGTGTCTAGGAATTTATCATTTCTTCCAGATTTACTAGTTTATGTGCATAGAGTTGTTTGTAATAATCTCTGATGATGGTTTGTGTTTCTGTGGAATCTGTGGTGATACCCCCTTTATCATTTTTTATTGCATCTATTTGATTATTCTCTTTTCTTTTTTATTAATCTGGCTGGTGGTCTGTATATTTTGTTGATCTTTTCAAAAAAACCAGCTCCTGGATTTATTGATTTTTTGAAGGTTTTTTTTGTGTGTCTATCTCCTTCAGTTTTGCTCTGATCTTACTTATTTCTTGTCTTCTGCTAGGTTTTGATTTTTTTAAATCTTGCTCCTCTAGCTCTTTCAATTTTGACAATAGGGTGTCGATTTTAGATCTCTCCTTGCTTCTTATGTGGGCATTTATTGCTATATAGTTTCCTTTAGACACTGCTTTAAATGTGTCCCAGAGATTCTGGTATGTTGTGTCTTCATTTTCATTGGTTTCTAATAACATCTTTATTTGTGCCTTCATTTCATTGTTTATCTAATCAACATCCAAGAGCCAGTTGTTCAGTTTCCATGAAGCTGTGCGGTTCTGAGTTAGTTTCTCAAGTCTGAGTTCTAACTTGATTGCAGTGTGGTCTGAGAGACTGTTTGTTATGATTTCCGTTCTTTTGCAGTTGCTGAGGAGTGATTTACTTCCAATTATGTGGTCAATTTTAGAGTAGGTGTGATGTGGTGCTGAGAAGAATGTATATTCTGTGGATTTGGGGTGGAGAGTTCTGTAAATGTCTATTAGGTTTGCTTGGTCCAGGTCTGAGTTCAAGTCCTGGATATCCTTGTTAATTTTCTGTCTCGTTGATCTGTCTAATATTGACAACGGGGTGTTAAAGTCTCCCACTGTTATTGTGTGGGAGTCTAAATCTCTTTGTAAGTCATTAAGAACTTGCTTTATGTATCTCGGTGCTCCTGTACTGGGTGCGTATATATTTAGGATCGTTAGCTGTCCTTGTTGCATTGATCCTTTTACCATTATGTAATGCCCTTCTTTGTCTCTTTTGATCTTTGTTGGTTTAAAGTCTGTTTTATCAGAGATGAGAATTGCAACTCCTGGGTTTTTTTTGCCCTTCATTTGCTTGGTAAATCTTCCTTCATCCCTTTATTTTGAGCCTTTGTGTATTCTTGCATGTGAGATGGGTTTCCTGGATATAGCACAGCAATGGGTTTTGGCTTTTTATCCAATTTACCAGTATGTGTCTTTTGATTGGGGCATTTAGCCCATTTACATTTAGGGTTAATATTGTTATGTGTGAATTTGATCCTGCCATTTTGATACTAGCTGGCTGTTTTGCCCATTAGTTGATGCAGTTTCTTCATTGTGTTGATGCTACATACCATTTGGTATGTTTTTGGAGTGGCTGGTACTGGTTGTTCCTTTCTATGTTTAGTGCTTCTTTCAGGAGCTCTTGTAAAGCAGGCCTGGTGGTGATGAAATCTCTGAGTACTTGCTTGTTCACAAAGGATTTTATTTTTTCTTCACTTATGAAGCTTAGTTTGGCTGGATATGAAATTCTGGGTTGAAAGTTCTTTTCTTTAAGAATGTTGAATATTGGCCCCCACTCTCTTCTGGCTTGTAGGGTTTCTGCTGAGAGATATGATGTGAGTCTGATGGGCTTCCCTTTGTGGGTAACCCGAGCTTTCTCTCTGGCTGCTCTTAGCATTTTCTCCTTTATTTCAACCCTGGTGAATCTGACGATTATGTGCCTTGGGGTTGCTCTTGAGGAATATCTTTGTAGTGTTCTCTGTATTCCCTGGACTTGAATATTGGCCTGCCTTGCTAGGCTGGGGAAGTTTTCCTGGATAATATCTTGAAGAGTATTTTCCAGCTTGAATTCATTCTCTCCATCACATTCAGGTACACCTATCAAACGTAGATTAGGTCTTTTCACATAGTCCCATATTTCTTGGAGACTTTGTTCATTCCTTTTTACCCTTTTTTCTCTAATCTTGCCTTCTCCTTTTATTTGAGTTGACCTTCGACCTCTGATATCCTTTCTTCTGCTCGGTCAATTCAGCTGTTGAAACTTGTGCATGCTTCATGAAGTTCTCATGTTGTGTTTTTCAGCTCCATCAATTCACTTATAATTCCTCTCTAAGTTGTTTATTCTTGTTAGCATTTCATCTAATCTTTTTTCAAGGTTCTGAGTTTCTTTGCATTGGGTTAGAACATGTTCTTTTAGCTCAGCGAAGTTTCTTATTACCCACCTTCTGAATCCTGATTCTGTCAATTCATCACATTCATTCTCCATTCATTGTTCCCTTGCTGGTGAGGAGTTGTGATCCCTTGTAGGAGGAGAGGCATTCTGGTTTCAGGTGTTTTCATCCTTTTTGCACTGGTTTCTTCCCATCTTTGTGGATTTGTCCACCTGTCATCTTTGTGGTTGTTGACTTACAGATTGGGTCTCTGAGTAGATGTCCAGTTTGTTGATGATGAAGTTATTTCTTTCTGTTTCTTAGTTTTTCTTCTACCAATCAGGCCCCTCTGCTCTAGGACTGCTGAGGTCCACTCCAGGCCCTGGTTGCCTGGGGCTCACCAGCAGTGGCTGCACAACAGTAAGGGTTGCTGCCGGTTTCTTCTTCTGCCGTCTTTGTCCCAGGAGGATGTCAGTCTGAGCTCTCCTTTATGAGGTGACTCTTTGGATATATGGGAGTCAGGGAGCTGCTTGAGGAGACAGTCTGTCCTTTATAGGAGCTCAAGTGCTGAGCTGTGAGCTCCGTTGTTCATTCAGAGCTGCTGGGCAGGTTCGTTTAAGTCTGCTGCAGCAGAACTCATAAACCCTCCTTTTTTTTTTCCCAGGTTCTCTATCCTGGGAAGTTAGGGCTTTATTTATGAGTTTCTGTTGTGCTGCTACCTTTTTTCAGGTCTGCCCTGCCCAGTGAGAAGGCAGCCTAGTCACTGTCTGCCTGCAGAGGCTTTGCTGAGCTGCTGTGGGCGCCACCCAGCTGCCGTGTGAACTTCCCCTCACTTCCTTTGTGCTTTCTCTGGGAGCTGCAATCTTGAGCTGCTCCTAATCGGCCATCTTGGATCCGTCCCCAAGAAGCATTCTTAAGCTGATACTTTGCAGTACTTTCTTGTATTGAGTATATTCCTCGAAAGCATCAAACCTTCCAGCCAGGCACAGTGGATTATGCCTCTAATCCTAGCACTTTGTGAGGCTGAGGTGGGCTGATTGCTTGAGCCCAGGAGTTCAAGGCCAGCTGGAGAACATGGCAAAATCCTGTCTCTACAAAAAAATATAAAAATTAGCCAGACATGCTTGCATGTGCCTGTAGTCCCAGCTACTTGCATGCTGAGGTAGAAGGATCAGTTGAGCTCATGAGGTTGAGGCTGCAATGAGTTGTGATCATGCAACTGTAATCCAGCCTGGGTGACAGAGGAAGACTGTCTCAAGAGAAAAAAAGAGAAAGCTTCCAGTAAAGAGAGATTGGAGTGGTTAATAAGGTAAAAGCTGTTTATTTTCTGGCTGGCTTTGTTCACTGTTTATGTTTAAACATTGCCTGGCAGTGGAAAGAGATAAAGGAATTAAAAACAAACTCTCTGAGGCATGGGTAGATGAACAGATATGTGTTAACACATATAACAAAATGTTAATTACAGAATCTGGGTGAACTGGTTATTGATTATAAGGGTGTTTATTAAACAATTCTTTTAATGTTTTATATGTTTGAAATTTTTATAAAACAATATTGGAAAAGAAAACCCTCTTTATGTTTTCTGTTCTTTTGCTGAGAATGAGGGACTTACAGGAAAAATGGCAGAAGTAGTCTAGGGAATAAGCCAGAAATAAAATGACTTAGATTACAGGGAGAAGTAAAAATTGATGTCCATAATTTTCCGTAATAGATAAATATGTTACTTTTGTAGTTGTGCTTTTATTTGTGTTAGATAGATTTCCCAAACTGGGATTGCTGATTTAAAATCTGTGTGTGTGTGTGTGTGTGTGTGTGTATAAATGTTAATGAAAACTGCCATGTTACATTTTTTTTGTTTTTGAGATGGAATTTCTCTCTTATTGCCCAGGATAGAGAGCAGTGGCATGATCTTGGCTCACTGCAACCTCCGCCTATTGGGTTCAAGCAATTCTCCTGCCTCAGCCTCCTGAGTAGCTGATATTACAGGAACGCACCACCATGCTTGGCTAATTTTGTATTTTTAGTAGAGCTGGCGTTTCTCCATGTTGGTCAGGCTGATCTTGAACTCCTTACCTCAGGATCAGCCCACCTCAGCTTCTGAAAGTGCTGGGATTATAGGTGTGAGCCACTGTGCCCAGCCGACATTTTTTTAAAAAAAGTATAGCAGGCCACACGATGGCTCACACCTGTAATCTTAGCACTTTGGGAGGCTGAGGTGGGTGGATCACCTGAGGTCAGAAGTTTGAGACTAACCTGACCAACATGGCAAAACCCCATATCTACTAAAAATACAAAATTAGCCAGGTGTGGTGGCTCATTCCTGTAATCCCAGCTACTCGGAAGGCTGAGGCAGGAGAATAGCTTGAACCTGGCACGCAGAGGTTGCAGTGAGCCAAGATTATGCCACTGTACTGTAGCCTCGCCAACAAGAATGAAACCATCTCAAAAAAAAAAAAGGTATATCAAAGCACATTCCCACCAAGCATGTATAAATGCTCTTGTTACCTCTTTATCAGTATTGGATATTGTAGATATTTTCTATTTTTTTAAGCCCAATCTGATGGATAAAAGATGGTATCATTGTATTTCCAGGACAGTAGTGAGGTTTTAGCCATTTGCGTGTTCTCTTTGTACACTATTTATTTTCCTTGTCCAATCTTTTATGTCAGTTTTCCCTTTCTAATCACATTGTAGGAGTTCTTTATAAATTACAGATATTGCTCCTTTTTCATGCTTATTATAAATATTTCTCCTAGTTGTTTATCTTTTTATTTCATTTATCATGCTTTTTTGATAATCGTAAAGGCTTTTAACAGTAAATGTAAATATTTTTACATTTAAAGTGGTGATGAATTTGCAACAATAATTGTGTTTTAATTCTATAATTGCAGTCTTGGATTATATCAATGGAGTGATAAAGTAGTTCGAAAAGTGGAGAGATTATGGGATGTTCGAGATAATAAGATAGTTCCTCACACTGTGTATCTCCTGGTAACGCCTCGTGTTGTTGTAAGTATTACTGAACTTCATGTCTTATGAGCCGTCCGTTCTTTTCATTTGTTGTGGCCCTTTCTTTACTTATTTTTATTATTTAAGAACTTATACAGCTAGTGCTCGACTTACAACCATGATTGGTTCCGACAGACTGGTTGTAACATGATTTGGTCGTAAGTTGAGTAGGCTATGTGTACACGACTGTGAAATGATGTTATAAAAATCTTTAAGTCATATTTTATCATTATTTTCTTTCATTATTGTTACCGATCATAATTTTCTTTATTTTATGCGATCACATTAACTTTCTTTCCTCCTTCGTACTGCTTAATCACGTTCATTTTCGTGTCGAGATCGATGGCCTTTCTTTCCTTCTTGGCAGGCTGAGGTGTAGACAAAGACAGTTTCCTCTTGGTAGACATCTTGGGAGGGTTTTGATGAAAAATATCCAAGACACAAAACACAAATTGCCTTACGGAGTCTGGGATAACAGTTGAAATGGTGCATGTGGAGATGGTAGTGCTGCTGGAAGCTGGTCCGCACTGTCGTACGCCCAGCTGGGCAACGTTTGCGCTGCCAGATGCAGAGCAGTCGTGGCTAGCGATTGTGGTCGTAAAGTCAGATGGTCGTAAGTTGCATAGGTCGTAAGTCGATCAATACCTATAATATTTTAGAGTCTATAGTAGGAAAAGTAATATAGATGCAGTGCCGTAAAGCTACGGGCCATGAGAAGTCTGAGGAAATGGAAACGTGGCAGTGACTCTCACAGCTCCCACCCTACCCAGTGCCTCCTCTGTTGCGATTCCTCTTTGGATCACTGGTAGTATTTCTATAATTATTGATCATTTTATTTTCCATTCGTGTTAGTCAAGGTTCTCCAGAGAAACAGAACCAACAGGATGTGTGTATATATCTCTATTATCTGTACACACAGAGAAAGAATATGAGAGAGAAGGGGAGGAAGAGATTTCTTCTTTTTTCTTTTCTTTTCTTTTCTTTTTTTTTTTGAGACAGCATCTCACTCTATCACCCAGGCTGGAATGTAGTGGTACGGTTTTGGCTCACTGCAACGTCTACCTCCTGGGCCCAAGTGATCCTCCTACTTTAGCCTCCTGAGTGGGTGAGACTATAGCAATGCACCACCATGCCCAGCTAATTTTCTTTATTTTTTGTAGTGATGAGGTCTCACTATGTTGACCAGGGTGGTCTCAATCTTCAGGGCTCCAGCAGTCTTTCTGCCTCAGCCTCCTAAAGTGCTAAGATTACAGTCATGAGCCACTGCACCTGGCCAAGAGATTACTTTTAAGGATTTGGCTCACATGACTGTGGAAGCTTGGCCAGTTCAAATCTGAAGGGATAGGCCAGCAGGCTGGAGACTCAGGGAAGAGTTGCAGTTCAAGTCCAAAGGCAGAATTACATCCTGTTCAGGGGAGATCAGTCTTTGTTCTCTTCAGGCCTTCTACTGATGGGATGAGGCCTACCCACATTACGGAGGTGATCTTTACTTCAGAGTCTACTGATAACAACCTTACTCTCATTCAAGAAAACACCTTCGCAGCTGGGTGCGGTGGCTCACGCCTGTAATCCCAGCACTTTGGGAGGCTGAGGCCAGTGGATCACCTGAGGTTGGGAGTTTGAGACCAGCTTGACCAACATGGAGAAACCCCATCTCTACTAAAAATACAAAATTAGCTGGGCGTGGTTGTGCATGCTTGTCATCCCAGCTACTCTGGAGGCTGAGGAGGAGAATCACTTGAACCCAGGAGGTGGAGGACAACAAGAGCAAAACTCTGTCTCAGAAAAAAAAAAAAGAAGAAGAAAGAAAACACCTTCACAAAAACATCCAGAATATCTGGGCCAAATATCTGGGGACCACAGCTGTTCTCCCTTCCCCTTTTCCTTGACTGTGTACAGCTCTCTGACTTAAAGTTTTGCACTGCTTTTGGGCTATTTCCCATCTCTTGAAATCTCTAACTAAAGGACAGATAGAACCCAATGAGCAGGATTTTATCCTACTAAGCAACTTTTTTTTGGAGATGGAGTTTCCTTCTTGTCACCCAGGCTGAAGTACAATGGCACATGCTGGGCTCACTGTAACCTCCGCCTCCCGGGTTCAAGCGATTCTCCTGCCTCAGCCTCCTGAGTAGCTGGAATTACAGGCGCCCACCACTGTCTCCCCTCCTCTCTTGTATTCCTTCTCTGTGTGTACATATATATAGATGTATACACACATCCTGTTGGCTCTGTTTATCTGGAGAACCTTGACTAATACAGGCACAAAATAAAATGATCAGCAGTTGTAGAAACAGCACCACTGATCCTAAGAGGTCTCTCAACAGAGGAGGCATTGGTGCCTGGTGACCTCAGGTGATCTACCCACTTTGGCCTCCTAAAGTGCTGGGATAACAGGGATGAGCCACTGTGCCTGGCCAGAGTAGATTTTTTGAAAAGATAAAACTGACAAACCTTTAGTTAGACTAAGAAGATACAAATAACATAAGAAATGAAAGAGGAGACATTGCAACTGATACCACAGAAACACAAAGGATCATAAGAGACTATTATCAACAATTATGTACCAATAAATAGGATAGCCTAGAAGAAATGAACAAATTCCTAGAAAAATACAACCTATGAAGACTGACTCATGAAGAAATAAAAAATCTGAACAGACCAATGAGTAATGAGGTTGAATCAGTAAGAAAAGTCTGCCATCAAAGTGAAGCCCAGGACCAGTTTCCCTGCTGAATTTCACCAAATGTTTAAAGAAAAACTAATACCAGTCCTTCTCAAAGTTTTCCAAAAAATTGAAGAGGAGGGATTACTTCCAGACTCTTTTTACCAGGGCAGCAATATTCTAAACAAATTTAGACAAGACCATTACAAGAAAAGAAAATTACAGGCTAATATTCTTGATAAGCATAAGTACAAAAAATTTTCCAACAGAATTCTAACAAACTGAGTTCTATAAGTTGTTAAATAGGTCATCCATCATGATCAAGTGAGATTTATCCCTGGGATGCAAGGATGGCTGAACATAGCAAATCAGTAAATGTGATGCATCTCACTGACAGAATGAAGGACAAAAATCATATGATTGTCTCAGTAGATGCCAAAAAATCATTTAGCAAAATTCAACATCTTTTTATGATTAAAAACTAACCAAATTATATACAAAAGGAAGGTACCTCAGCACAGTAAAGACCATATAAGAGACACCTACAACAGACCTTATATTCGTTAGTGAAAAATGGAAAGCCTTTCCTCCAATTTCTGAAACACTCTTACCACTTCTACATAGTATTGGAAGTCCTTGTTAGAACAGTCAGGCCATAGAAATAAATAAAAGGCATCCAAATAGGACAGGAAGAAGTGAAATAGTTGCTGTTTGCTGATGACATGATCTTATATATAGAAGACCCTAGAGACTCCATCAAAAAATTATGAGGATTAATAAATACAGTAAAATCGCAGGGTGCAAAATCAACACACAAAAAATCAGTAGTTTTCTATATACTAACAGAAAACTACCCGATAAAGAAATGAAGAAAATAATTTCATATACAATAGCTACAAAAAGAAATAATTCTTAGGAATCAATTTAACCAGGGAAGTGAAAGAAAGACCTATGCACTGAAAACTAGATGAAAGAAATTGAAGAAGACACAATAAATATAAAGGTATCCCGTGTTCATTGATTAGAAGAATTAATATTGTTCCAGTGTCCATACTGCCCAAAACAATCTACAGGTTCAGTGTGATCCCTTTCAAAATTCCAGTGTCTGTCATTTTTCACAGAAATAGAAAAAAAATTCTCAAATTCACATGAAACCACAAACACACACACGCACACACAAAACCTAAATAGCCAAAGCAACTGTGGACAAAAAGAACAAAGCTATTCAGGCAGTGTGATGCCTCCAGCTTTGTAGTATTTCAAACTGTGCTGCAAAGGAATAGTAAGTAAAATTTCATGGTCTTAGCATACAAATAAGCACATTGATTAATGGAACAGAAGAAATTATGATTGACTTGATTGACTTGATTATGATTAACCAATTATGATTAATTGATTTTTAATAAAGGTGCTAAGAATACACAATGGGAAAAAGTATCTTCAATAAATGGTGTTAGGAAAACTGGATATCCATATGCAGATGAAATTTGACCTTTACCTCACACCATATACAAAAACCAACTCCAAATGTATTAAATATTTAAACATAAGACCGGAAACTGTAAAACTACTAGAAGAAAACATAAGGGATAACTACATGACATTGGTTAGGGCAGTGAGTTTTTGGATTAGACCCTGAAAGCGCAGGCAACAAAAATAAAAAAGGACAAATGAGATTACATCAAATGAAAAAGCTTCTGCACAGCAAAGGAAATAATTAAAAGTGTGAAGAGGGGCCGGGCGCGGTGGCTCAAGCCTGTAATCCCAGCACTTTGGGAGGCCAAGGCGGGTGGATCACGAGGTCGAGAGATCAAGACCATCCTGGTCAACATGGTGAAACCCCGTCTCTACTAAAAATACAAAAAATTAGCTGGGCATGGTGGCACATGCCTGTAATCCCAGCTACTCAGGAGGCTGAGGCAGGAGAATTCCCTGAATCCAGGAAGCGGAGGTTGCAGTGAGCCGAGACCGCGCCATTGCACTCCAGCCTGGGTAACGAGCGAAACTCCGTCTCAAAAAAAAAAAAAAAAGTGTGAAGAGACAACCTACAAATTGGTAGAAAATATTTGCAAGCCATACATCAGAAAGGGGTTAGTATCCAGAATACATAAGGAATACAAACAACTGTGTACAAATAGCCCATGAAAAAAATTGGCCAAGGACCTGAATAGACATTTCTCACAAGAAGACCTGCAAATTGTGAACAGGTACATGAAAGAAATGCCCAACATTACTAATCTTTAGGGAAATGCAGATTAAAACCGCAATGAGATATCATTTTATGTCTGTCAGATGACTATTATCAAAAAGACAAAAGAGTGCTCGCTCTTTTTCAGTTGAGCTCAACCATTGGGATAAAAGGTTATTAGAAGTCAGTTTGTTTTTAAATTTTACTAGAATTTATTTAATGATAAATAAGTGTTTTCACTTACATGTGACATCTAAAAAAACTGAACTCAGAAGCAGAGAGTAGTAGTTACAGAGGCTGTGGGTGGGGGAATGGTAAGATGAGGGCCAAAGGGTGCAAAATCACAGACACGAGTAATAATTTTTTTCTTTTTTTTGAGATTTATTGCACAGCATGGTGAATATGGTTAGTAATAGTGTATTACACATTGTTTAGTTACTGATAGTAAATTTCAAATGCTCCTCTCACAAAAAATAAGTATTTGAAATGATAGCTATAGTAGCTTGATGTAATTATTTCACATTGTATTCATAAATCATAACCACTCTGTACTCCATAAATATATACAACCATAAATTGTCAATTTAAAATGAGATAAAAAATATAAAATTGTAATAGACATGAGTTACAACTGTCAGTCAAACTAGTCTATAACATTTTTTAGCTATCTGGTACAAAAGTGAAAATCTTCAGAGATAAGAAAAGATATCAAGAGAAGTAGTAATTTCATAGCAAAGAAGAGTGACTGCATCAAAATAATTATATTAAAGAACACATTTTATCATAGGGCAACAGTGGCTTTGCTTAAGAAAAAAGAAAAAGAAAAAAACATTTAAAAAAGAATTTCTCTTTTCTCAACAAAATAATTCTTTAATGTTAACTTCTTATATTCATGTGATGAAAAGTTTGCCATTATCTTACGGTACCTTTGTATTGTATTTTTTTTTCTGGTTCATAGGAGGAAGCACGAAAACATTTTAATTGTCCACTTCTGGAGGGAATGGAGCTTGAAAATCAGGGTGGTGTGGGCACTGAGCTCAACCATTGGGAAAAAAGGTTATTAGAGGTCAGTTTGTTTTTAAATTTTACTAGACTTTATTTAATGAAAGTAATTCATAATTATGGTAAAAGTTATTCTAACAGGTTATAAACTGAAAATGTTTTACGTCACTTTGTCCCTTTGGCTTTCCAGATTCACTTTCCAGATGTAATCACTCTCTAAGTTTTTTGTATATACTTTCATACATGTTACATATGTATGTATGTGCAAACACACGCAGAATTATTTTTTAATGAGTTCACATATTTATGCAACTTTTTTGACTTTTTCCAAGCACTACAGGTGCTTGGCTACTCTAGTATTTCTTTACCTTCAACATCAGCAGTAACAATAACCCATGGTAGCTGGATGGGGGATTGTAAATCTGAGTAATGGGGACAAGGGTTGTGAGAACCATATAGTAAACACTTCCAAGCAGAGTTGCTGGCTACACCGAGCAAAGAGAAAGCAGGTGGAGTAAACACATATTATACACAGAACAGCTTTTTTGTTTTGCTGTGTTTGGCTATCTTAGTATACTTTGTGTTTAGGCTTCATCACAAAATAGTAACATGCAGGGAAAAATCAACGAGCCAACGTGGTTCCATGTTATTCTGATGCCATTCCTTATTTACTGATTTCACATGAGCGCTTTCACATTGCAGAAACACATGCTTTCACAGAATAAACTGTATACTTGGACCTACTCATTTTTTCTATATGAATGTAGCATAACTTTTCTGTGTTAATGAAAACTATGTTTTAAATTTTGTATTTTAGAAAATGTAATGAGCAATTTATTTATATCTGTGATACTATGCCTTCCCAGGGTGGGGTTTCAGTTGGTGTTCTTAGATTCAACTAAGCAGTCAAACTCACTGGACCGAATCAGGCCATATTAAGAAAAGATTCCCTCAGAGAAGGATATTAAAGCGAACACACAACATGGCTGCACAGTAAAGCCAGGCATTGCTCTTGTGCTCCCTGTCTCCGTTCCCTATGCAGCTTAAGTACAAGAGCCCAAGACCACAGTAGACAGATGGGAGAACCAGCCTGGCTTAGAAATATCATGTCCCAAATAGGAACCAGTATCTTTTTTAACAGTTCCATAGGTCTAAATTCCAGATCCAATAAGGGACATACCCACAGGAGTCACTGCTCACAGGGAAGTCCAAATCCAAACTGTGGCTTACCAACAGGTATTCATGTTCATTTACAGTCATCCCAAGTTGAGAGGCATATCAGGAGGTCTTTTTTTCTTGGGTAGTGTTACCTGGTAACACAGTCCACAGTCACCTTTATTGGGTTTCCAGGGGAACAGAACTAGAGAGTTAACACAAGGTCAGGTTTATTTATATAGAAAGCATGCATCCCTGGAAGTGGAATTTCTGGGTCAAAGGATAGATAATTTTTTTTAAAATGTTTAGAGATCTGCTTAAATAGATAGTTGCAGCTTGTATACCTCATGCCTGAAGTTAGTGAAATTGTGGAAGGAATGAAATGAATGCTTGTGGTTACTGTTATTGTCTAGGTGATCACAAAGTAATCATGATGGAAACTTAGGGAAGACACATAAATTTATTCCTCCCATGGAAATTTTAGGTTTTTTTATTTTCCTTAAGAAATTTTCTCAGGTGACTCCCTTTACAATGCTGTAGACTGGCCAGAAATGAAAATGTATGTCCTTTTCAGCAGAAGCTCTGAGAGTAGTAATTTTATTAACATCTTCTCTCAAATCAGCTTTGTGTCCTTATTTATTTATTTCTCTATTTTTGAGACAGAGTCTTGCTCTGTCGCCAGGCTGGAGTGCAATGGTGCGATCTTGGCTCCCCACAGCCTCTACCTCCTGGGTGCAAACGATTCTCCTGCCTCAGACTTCCAAGTAGCTGAGATTACAGGCATGTGCCACCATGAATGGCTAATTTTTTTGTATTTTTATTAGAGACAGGGTTTATCCATGCTGGTCAGGCTGGTCTCCAACTCCCAACCTCAGGTGATCTGCCTGCCTCAGCCTCCCAAAGTGCTGGATTACAGGCGTGAGCCACCACGCCCGGCTGAACTATTTTCTTTAAAGCATGGTATCATAGTAATTGAGATGATCATCTGGTTTTCAATGGAAAGATTTAAAGAATAATCAGAACTGTCCAAAGATGAAATATGCTCTGTAAGAGGTGGTGAAGTCCTCATCAATAGGTGACCTCCTGATAGGAATTGTATGATATGAATTAAAATATGGCATAGATGGTAGACCTTGATGATATTTTAGACCTTTCAGGTAAATCCTTTTATCCCGTAGTTCTGTCACATTTGTTTCGCATATTAGTACATATTTCTCTGATCACAAAGTTGAAGGTTATGAAAACTTTTCTGTGTAATTCAGACAAGTGTTCCCCTTGACTCAAAATTATCTGTGCATTTGCCTCAATCACCTACTTTGCTTTACCTGGAGAGTATAATATTTCTGTAGTATTTCTGTTTTCATATAGATTTATCTTCATTCATCACAGAGTTCTAAATGCCAGTTGCCTACCATTCTAAGGGAATCGTACACAATTGAAACACTTAGGGCAGAAAATAGATTTCACTTCAAGATTCAGTCTAGTCATTTTAAAGGTTTATGTATTTCACCACTTTTAAATGAGTGTCTTGTCAGCCTCTGACAGCTGAAAAATTTTAAATATATATCAGAGGAATTACAGAAAGTATTAGGAGTTGCAGATAAACTAGTCTTCTAATTAAAGTCTGTTGGTGATTTTCAGAATGAAGCAATGACTGGTTCTCACACTCAGAACCGAGTACTCTCTCGAATCACTCTGGCATTAATGGAGGACACTGGGTAAGACAGCTGTAAGAGTAAGATATGAATTCTTTATTAAAATGAAATTAATAGTGAGATTATAGCTTAAGAAAATGCTGACATTTCATGCTGAAGCAAAATTTACTTATTAAGTATTTGAATCTTGTACAGTTAGCTGTCCATTATTTATACCAACTCCATTCATTTATCCATTCAATAAATACTTAACGTTGTTTGTTCGATTTGAGACAGGGGTCTCACTCCTGTTGCTCAGGCTGGAGTGCAGCGGCAATCCGGGCTCACTACATCCTGGACTTCCTGGGCTCAAGCAATCTTCCCACCTCAACCTCCTGAGTAGCTGGGGCTACTGACATGTGCCACCATGCCTGGCTACTTTTTTTGTATTTTTAGTAGAGATGGGGTTTTGTCATGTTGCCCAGGTTGTTCACAAACTCCTGGGCTCAAGCAAGTCTCCTGCCTTGGCCTCCCAAAGTGCCGGGATTCCAGGCATGAGCCACCACGCTTGGCAGAAATACTGTTTTTAAATGAAATCTTTTATACAACCCCTACATATCAAACAAAATTAAAGCTACTTTAGTAGAAGCATCATTACCTCTTACTCTTTCTAAGATAGTCTGAGAGTAAATTAGAAAATGGAATCAAATTTGAAAATTAATGGTAGAGGTGCTATTAAAACTATGAAAATTGTTGACACTACCTCACTGTTAAGAGGTCTAAGCATTTAAAAATATAGAGGTCATTCTTTTTAAAATTTGTTTGTTTTAAGAGACAAGATCTTCATGGTGTAATCATTGCAATAAGAAACAAAACAAACAGAAAAAGAGACAAGATCTTGCTCTGTTGCCTAGGCTGAAGTGTAGTGGTGTGATCATAGCTTACTGTAGCCTCGAGCTTCTGGACTTAAGCAATCTTCTGCCTCAGCCTATCCAGTAGTTGGGACTGGAGGCACATGTCATCATGGTGACCAGCTAATTGTTTAATTTTTTTTTTTTTTTAAGAGACAAGAGTTTCTTTAATTGCCCAGGATGGTTTTGAATTCTTGACCTGGAGATCCTCCCGTTTCAGCATCCAGAGTAGTTAAGATTACAGTTGCAAGCCACGGGTTCCTGGCTTGAGGTTATTGTTGGCCCTGAGAACAGTTTCAACAAAAATGGAAGAGACAGAAGTTCATAGTGTTGCTGGACGAAACCGAGGGTCTACTGCTATTCCTCACGGCCCAGTAACGAGATGCTGATGCGCTGGGGAGGAAGAAAGTTTTTATTTCTGTAATTGATTATAAGGAGAAGGTCTGGAAATTATCACCAGACCAGCTCAAAATCACACAGTGTTTCAGAACTTACATACTTTCTAAGCTATATGCCTATGTGTAAGTGTGCATTCATCGAAAGACCTAAGTGATTAAACTTCTTTTAATCTGTAACTAAGGTCGGAGTACTGAAGACCTTCTTCTGCCTCAGTAAGTTTACTTAGTATAAATGGGTCTAGGTGCTGGGATGATTACCCTTCCGCTGTCGCCTGCTAAGTCATGGAGGTTTGGGGAGTTCCTTCAGACTACCAATAAATTTGTGGAGGCCTGGGGAGTTTTTTCACACCCTCAATAAAACTTGTTTATAGCAAGGGAATGCAGAGGAGGAAATGAAACAAAACCCATTCTTAACAGGACCCATTCAAATCTTAATGGGTCCTGTTAAGAATGCCTTCCTTACTTTGTCACGCCTTAAGGCCCAGGAAAGGCCTCGGCAAAACTCCTAATGGGCTTTTGTTATATTCCAGCCTTTGTATAAGGGCACTGGTTTTTTAGCTTTTAATATTTAATTTAACCACTCAGTCAGTGCTGAAACAGTTGTGTTCGAGCCCTGCCACAATAGGGTGAGCTGCTTAAATGACAGAGGAAGATGCAGGTAAGAAAGGATATTATTAGCACAGCTTTGTCCCTGGGGATGCAAGATGAATGGGATCCGGAAAACCAGGAGAACTTGAATGGGAAGAAAGACACAACTCTGTCCATTGATTCATGAAGAAAGAATGGAAATGAGAATACAAGTCATTTTGTAAGTGGAAGCTGGAAGCTGAAGAAGTTCAGAGATTTTGGTTACCATATATCTGTCATTTAGGAGGCAAAGCCATCCCTGAGGGAGAGAGGGAGGCAGAAGTTAGGTATAAGTGCATACCTTGTGGGCTTTGTTTTTAGACAAAGCATCTACAGAAGTCATATACTTTCTTAATTTTTCTTTGACCCAAAGGAAGAAAAGTAAGGAAAAAATGTAGCATTGTGCCTAAGAAAGAAATTGGGGGCAGTTTTCTACCTTTAGGAGGTAGAAAGTAGTACCCTGAAAAGTCATTAGTATGCAGTGCGTTAAGACTTCAGTGTAGCTTAACTAAGTTGCTTCTCCCAGTAAATACTATCATCTGTCTGTCCAGAACACTGTGAGTCTTCCTTGATAACCCTCTCTCCCCATTTCTCACATCCAATCCATGACAGGTCTTGCTAATCTTTAGCTCTTCAGTATTGCTAAAGTCTGTGTTCTTTTTTGATGACTACTGCCTTTATCTAGGCCACCTTTTTCTTTTGACTAGATAACTATGGTAGCTTTAGTAAGTCTCTCTCTGCATCTAAAGTGGTCCTTTCTGTAGCCTGAAGGTCTTCACACATTTTACATAGCATCCTTTACAAGTTTTTTTTGGCACAGTGTCTCACACAGTAAGAAATACATCATGACCAAAGTACACACATATTTTTATAGTAATTAAGAGTAAAGATACTGATAAAGGTGCCAGGACCATTCAATGGGAAAATAGTTTTTTAAACAAATGCTGCTGGGACAACTAGATATCCATATGCACAAAAATGTACTCCTATGGTACACAGTGTACAAAAATCAACTCAAAATGGATCAAAAGAAAGTGCCTGTTTCTGGCTTCTAGCCAGAGGCTTCACTTCCCAGCTATATATATATTTAAAAGGATTGAAAACCTAAATTTAAGAGTTGAAACTACAAAATGCTTAGAAGGAAACACAGGTGTAAGGTTTCATGACATTGAATTAGGCAATGATTTCTTCAACATTGTACCAAAAGCCCAAGCTTACCAAAAAAAAAAAAAAAAAAAAAAAAGGAACACTTGGACTTTACCGAATTAAAAACATTTGTGCTTTAAAGAACACTCAAGAAAGTGAAAAGAGCTGCCGAGGTGCAGTGGCATGAAAATTAAAGACCAGACAGCTGGGAGTAATCATGCCTGTAATCCCAGCTACTTGGGAGGCTGAATTGGGAAGACTATTTGAGCCCAGGAGTTTGGGTCCAGCCTGGACAACATAGCAAGACCCTGTCTCTTTAAAAAAAAAAAAAAAGAAAAGAAAGTGAAGGTAACTCACAGAATGGGAAAAAATATTTGCAAGTTGTCTATCTGATAAGGGTCTAGTGTCCAGAATATTTATAAGAACTTTCAACTCAGTAGTAAAAAGGCAATACAATTTAAAAGTGGGTGAAGGATTCGAATAGGTATTTCTCTAAGGAAGATAAACAGATGACAAATACGCATATGAAAAGATACCCAACATCATATGTTATTAGGGAATTACCAGTTAAAACAACGATGTCGCATCTATCAGAATGGTGAAAATCAACCAGACACGTTGGATCACGCCTGTAATCCCAACGCTTTGGGAGACCAAGACAGGCAGATCACCTGAGGTCAGGAGTTCAAGACCAGTCTGGCCAAATGGCAAAAGCCTGTCTCTACTAAAAATATAAAAATTAGCCAAGCATGGTGGTACATGCCCATGATCCCAGCTTCTTGGGAGGCTGAGGCAGGAGAAATGCTTGAACCTGGGAGGTGGAGTTTTCAATGAGCCAAGATCGTGCCACCACACTTCAGATTGGGCAAGACAGTGAGACTGCCATCTCAAAAAAAAAAAAATGGTAAAAATCCAGAACACTGACAACACTGACTGCTTGTGAGGATGTAGAGTGAGATGCTCTCATTAATTGTTGGTGGGAGGCAGAATGGTACAACCACTTTGGAGGACAGTTTACTTACTCTTACCATACAGTCCGACAATCACACTTCTTAGTATTTATCCAAACACATGGAAAATTTATCAGTTTACTTACTCTTAACCATACAATCCAACAATCACACCTCTTAGTATTTATCCAAACAAACTGAAAATTTATCAGTTTACTTACTTTTACCATACAGTCCAGCAATCACACTTCTTAGTATTTATCCAAACAAAGTGAAAATTTATCAGTTTACTTACTCTTACCATACAGTCCAACAGTCACACTTCTTAGTATTTATCCAAACAAACTGAAAATTTATGTCCACACAAAAGCCTGTACACAGATGTGTATAGCAGCACTACTCATAATTGCCAAAACTTGGAAGCAAACAAGATGTCCTGCAGTATGTAAATAGGTAAACTGTGGGGCATGTACCAGACAATGGAATATTACTCAGTACTAAAAATAAATGAGCTATCAAACTGTGAAAATACATGGAGGAACGTTAAATGCATATTACTAAATGAAAGAAGCCAATTTGAATAGGCTTCATGCCATATGACTCCAACTATGTGACATTCTAGAAAAGGCAAAATTACGGAAAAAATAAAAAGATCAAGCCAGTGTGGTATTGCACGCCTTGTAGTCCCAGCTACTTTGGATGCTGAAGCAGGAGGATCACTTGAGCCCAGGAGTTTAAATCCAGCATGGACAACATAGTGAGACACCGTCTCTTAAAAAAGGCCAGGCGCAGTGGCTCACACCTGTAATCCCAGCACTGGGAGGCTGAGCCAGGAGGATCACTTGGAGACTAGCCTGGGTAACATGATGAAACCTGGTCTCTACCAAAAATTAGGTGGGTGTGGTGGTGCATGCCTATGGTCCCAGCTGCTCAGGAGGCTAAGGCAAGAGGATTGATTGAGCCCAGGAGGTCGAGGCTGCAGTGAGCCTTGATTGTGCCACTGGACCATAGCCTGGATGACAGAATGAGACCCTATCTCAAAAAAAGAAAAGAAGAATCAGTGATCACCAGGGATTAGTGGGAAAGGGAGGAGTGAATGGGCCGAGCACAGAGGAATTTTGGGCAACAGTGAAACTATACTGAGTGACACTGTAATGATGGATGCATGTCATTATATGTATGTTAAAACCTTGAGCAATTTACAACACCAAGAGTGAACTCTAATGTAAACTATGGACTTTGAGTGATAATGATGTGTCATTGTAGGTTCACTGCTTTTACAAATGTGCCACTCTGGTGAGGAATGTTGATAGTGGGGAGAGTTATAAGTGAGGAGGGCAGGGTTATATGGTAACTGTACCTTCTGCTTAATTTTGCTATGAACTGAAACCTGCTATAAAAAATAGTCTACGAAAAAGAAAAATCACAAAAGAAAGGAAGTCGTAATACATGCTAATGTTACAACATGTATGAACCTTGAAAGCATTATGTTAAATGAAGAAGCCAGACACAGAAGGCCCTCTTCTGTTTCTCAGAAATATCCAGAATCAGCAAATCCATTGAGAAAGAAAGTAGATTAATGGTTGCTAGGGAGTGGGCATGGAGGTGAATACATTGTTTCTTTTTTGGATGATGAGTATGTTCTGAAATGAGGTGGTGGTCATGGTTACACAATGTATGTATACACTAAAAAAGCATTGAATTATGTACATTATGAAAGTGAGTTTTATCATATGTGAATTAAATTTTTTAATATTATGGTATGTGAATTTTTTTAAAAAGCACACAGATACTGAAGGCAAACCCTTATATTCAAATCCCAGCGTTTGCCTCAGTTCCCTCATCTGTAAAACAGGCATCAAAGTAATATCTATCTCATAGAGTTGATCTTTTTCTTTTGAGATGGAGTCTTGCTTTGTCTCCCAGGTTGGAGTGCAGTGGCGCCATCTTGGCTCACTACAGCCTCTGCCTCCTGGATTCAGGCGATTCTCCTGCCTCAGCCTCCAGAGTAGCTGGGACTACATGCGTGCACCACCACGCCTGGATAATTTTTGTATTTTTAGTAAAGATGGGGTTTCCCCATGTTGGCCTCATGCAGTCCTTTTTTCTATGATTTTTTTAAAGAGAGAAATGTTAATCAGGATCCACTAAGTTGGTTTCACAACTCACTGATACTACTAGTAAACCCTCTGTTTCTAATGCTCTCTTTGCCCCCTCACTAACTAGTGCTCATCCTTCTGAGTTTGGTTGAAGTTGCTTCTTCAGAAAAACCTTTCCCAATTCTTCAGACTAACTTAGGTTTCTCTATTAATATATTCCTATTAGCACCATATATTTCTCCTTTGGAATACTTGTCACACTTCAAATGTCTTATAAAATCTGTCTTCCCTACTAGATTATGTATGATCTTCATAAGAGCAGGTTCTGTGTTTGTTTATTCAATACTGTATTGTTAGCATTTAGCAAAGTGCCTACCATACGATAAATGCTTAGTAACTGTTGACTGCTAATACAGAAAAAGCTGCGTAGAGATGGTTATCTAGGTCTCATGACGTGTAGTTGGAGTGCCTACTTGGTGACAAAATAACATAGTGCTGTTACTGTATTCTGCACTCAAGGTATATCAGCACGTCCCTTCACTCCATCCGAAGACTCCATCTACTTACTTTACACTTCATTCACAGGACTAAGGGCTTCTGAACCTGAGCACTGCTAAAATAATTGTTGACGTACAGCATTAGAGGCACCTGTCACTATCTGGGTAGCTGGCCTGGCTGTGATACCAAGCTAGCTAGTAATGTAACTCACATTGTAGTTGCAGAAGTTGCAGACAGTTTGGCATTTGAGCACTGGGAGTCCTTTAATTTCTCTCTGAGTGAGAGTTTTGTTCTTTAAAAGAGGAGAAGTCTTGAAAGATGCTACATTACATATTTGTTTGATTTTTTAGTAAGGTGGTACAAGTGGAGGGGATGATTCTTACCTCCCCAACTTTTGAGCCTATTTTTTTTTCAACATTATTATTTTTTATTGTACAGATGGGGTTTTGCCATGTTGCCCAGGCTGATGTCAAACTCCTGAGCTAAAGTGATCTGCCTACCTTGGCCTCCCAAAGTGCTGGGAATATAGGTGTGAGCCACTGCGCCCACTCCTGAGCCTATGTTTTTATTTAATGTTTTGATAATGCTAAAGGGACAAAATATAGTACACACAGGGAAGAGACTATTTTGTATAGTTTTATAACTTTTGCCAACTAATCTTGTCTCTAAGAATAAGTAAGAAAAACTAAAACAAACTCATTGCCTCCGATTAAATTTGTCTGGAAACTCAATCAGTATTTTCTTTTTTCTGTTATTAGAACTTTTTTTTTTTTCTTCGAGATCGGGCCAGGCTAGAATGCAGTGGCATGATCCAGGGCTTAGGTGATCCTCCCACCTTAGCATCCCAGGTAGCTGAGACTACAGGTACACACCACCACACACCTGGCTAAGTTTCTGTGTTTTTAGTAGAGACAGGCTCTCACCATGTTGGCCAGGCTGGTCTTGAACTCCCGACCTCAAGTGATCCACCTGCCTCGGCCTCCCAAAATGCTGAGATTACAAGTGTGAGCCACTGCTCCCAGCTAGGACATTAAAAAAGTATAGAACATAGTATTGACTCGTCTGTCTATGAAAGTTGTCAGGTTCATAGTAGAGTCACTTATATCCAACCCTAACAAAAGGGAGCTGGGGAAGACCAGGAAGTGAGGACTCTGAAGCATGATTTGCCTGATAACAGGCACTATCACAAGAAATTTTTTCAAACTTCAGTTTACTACATGAGTCATACAAGGAGAACTAGTCATTTATACAGGAACACTTTGTTGACACAGTCTCTCTCAAACCCAGTCCACAGCTGCAAGGTCCTAGCTTTAAGTTCAGCATTACAAGTCTTACCTAGCAACTGCTGACACTGGCCAATGGGAACTCTTTTCAGATGATGCCAACCCCAGTGAGCTTTTTTTGAAAACACTTGTGTAACTTCCTTTTTCCCCAAACCCTCACCTTTTTCTTTGTTCTCTGGACATATCGGAGGCCACCCTGGTTTCCACCTGTGTCTCAGATTTCAATTCTACTTCCCCTCACCGCCCCCCCAAGACAGAATCTTGCTCTGTTGTCTACACTGGAGTGCTGTGGTGTGATCTTGGCTGACCGCAACCTCTGCCTCCTGGGTTCAAGCAATTCTCCTGCCTCAGCCTCCCAAGTAGCTAGGATTACAGGTGCACACCACTACGCCCGGCGAATTTTTGTATCTTTTTTTTTTAACTGGAGTCGGGGTTTCACCACGTTGGCCAGGCTGGTCTCGAACTCCTGCCTTGTGATCCACCCACCTTGGCCTCCCAAAATGCTGGGATTACAGGTGTGAGCCACTGCACATGGATGCAATTCTACCTCTTATATATTGTTCCCAAATAAAACCGTAAACTGTTTTACTAGAAATTTGTCTGTGTATAATTTTATTTCAAGTTAACATTATTTTAATGGTGTAATGTTTACTCAGGAAAAAGGCCTGTGATAGAATGGCGCACATTCAAGGCCAGAAGAGTAAGAAACTAGGCTAACTGAATCAGATTAGGTAAACACTAACCAACTGGCAATTCTACTCTTTCTTCCTCAGTGTACTTCTCTTTTCCCCCTATTCTCTTTTTGTTTCTTTGATCATCATCCCCCTTATCTCTTTCTGCTTTCTACTCTGTGACTTCTATTATCTTGGAGAATTACAATTGAGGCTAGGTACAGTGACTCACACCTGTAATCCCAGCACTTTGGGAGGCCAAGGCGGATGGATCACCTCAGGTCAGGAGTTTGAGACCAGCCTGTAAACATGGTGAAACCCCGTCTCTACTAAAAATACACAAATTATCCAGGCATGGTGGCGCATGCCTGTCGTCCCAGCTACTCGGGAGACTGAGGAAGGAGAATCATCTAAACCCAGGAGGCAGAGGTTGCAGTGAGCCAAAATCGTGCCACTGCACTCCAGCCTGTGTGACAGAGTGAGACCCTGTCTCAAAATGAAAATTGCAATAGAAATGTGTTTTGTTTTGTTATATAAAAATATAAAATTATATAATAACCTTCATCATAATTCTGGTTATCCAATCCCTGTGTTGCAATCCCTATGCTGTAGGAACTTAGTGAATGTTTACTTACGGTAATGGCCTCCAAAATCTTTTTCACTGTTGAGATTCTCAATTGCTATACTACAGTTTTTAAAAGGACAACAATAAAAATTGCTTTGTCTGAATTATTTCACAGCTGGTATAAAGCAAATTACAGCATGGCTGAGAAGTTAGACTGGGGCCGAGGAATGGGCTGTGACTTTGTCAGGAAGAGCTGTAAATTCTGGATTGATCAGCAGAGACACAAGTAAGAATGCATTTCCTCACAGTGTCATTGGTTACACAGTTCATTTCTTATTTTATTCTTTATCCAACGTCTAAAATGTAAACTATTTTCAAAATGTCGTCAATGTATAGAAAACCATCTATATATGCTTGGTAATAATATTGTAAGAAGTAGCTGCAGTATTGTTTTTAATCATATACTAAAGGAATCCACAGTGAGAGGCCCAGAGCCATGAATGTTTCTGTTCAGCTTATTGAAACTCATAAATATATATATTTTACAAACATTTTGTATACTTTGTCATTCTTACTGTTTTCCTCAGAGAGTAAAACTATAAATACAGATGCAAATATTGATTCAGTATCAGAAAAAGCTACTTTTGAATAGGGGTTTTCAAATCTAGATGCATATCATAATCACCTAGCCAGCTTTAAAAACAATACAGAGTAAGTTTGATATAGATGTATGTATAATCTAGATTTGATTATATGTAAACGACATGGGTCTGTATCATACATACATACATATCATACATACATACAGTTGTTCTTTGGTAACCATGGAGGGTTGCTTCCAGGACCCCTGTAAAAAACAGAATCCATAGATGCCTATATAAAAGTTCCTTACAGAAATTGTAGTAGTACATCCTCCTGTGTATTTTAAATGATCTCTAGGTCATTTAAAATGCATAATACAATTTAAATGCTGTTGAAAACAGTTGTTACATTGTTTAGGGCAGGCATCCCCAAACTGCGGCCCGCCTGAGGCCATTTATCCGGCCCCCCGCCGCACTTCAGGAAGGGGCACCTCTTTCACTGGTGGTCAGTGAGAGGAGCACAGTATGTGGTGGCCCTCCAGCGGTCTGAGGGACAGTGATCTGGCCTCCTGTGTAAAAAGTTGGGGGACGCCTGGTTTAGGGAATAATGACAAGGAAAAAAGTCCTCATGTTCAGTGCAGAAGCAACCATCCTTTTTTTCCTGAAATGTTTCATTTTGTTTTGTTTGTTGTTGTTATTGTTGAGACAGAATCTCATTCTGTTGCCCAGGCTGGAGTGCAGTGGCACAATCTCCACTCATTGCAACCTGTACCTCCCAGGTTCAAGCGATTCTCGTGCCTCAGCCTCCTGAGTAGCATGTGCCATGACTCCCGGCTAATTTTGTATTGTTAGTAGAGGCGGGGTTTCACCGTGTTGGCCAGGCTGGCTCATGCCTATAATCCCAGCACTTTGGGAGGCCAAGGTGGGTGGGCCAAGGTGGGTGGTCAGGAGTTCAAGACCAGCCTGGCCAACAGAGTGAAACCCTGTCTCTACTAAAAATACAAAAATTAGCCAGGCCTGTTGGCGGGCGCCTGTAATCCCAACTGCTAGGGAGGCTGAGTAAGAGGAATAGCTTGAACCCAGGAAGCAGAGGTTGCAGTGAGCTGGGATCATGCCACTGCAGTCAGGCCTGGCTGACAGAGTGAGACTCTGTCTAAAAAAAAAAAGTTAAATAAATGAATTTAGACTGTATGTGAACTTTTGAGCATGGGGTTTTTTACTCAGCATAATTTTCTGGAGATTCCTCCCAGTTGTTGTATATGTCAATAATTTGATGTTTTTTTATGGCTAGTTAATATTCCACAATGTGGTATACCACAGTTTGTTTAAACATTCACACTTTGAAGGGCATCTGGATTGTTTGCAGTTTTGGGATATTATGAATGAAGTTGCTATGAACATTTATGTACAGGTTTGTGTGTGAACATATATCTTTATTTCTCCAGAAAAAAATGCCAGGAATGTAATTGCTGGCTCATTAAGTAATTGCAGATTTAGTTTTATAAGAAACTGCCTGGCCGAGTGCGGTGGCTCATGCCTGTAATCCCAGCACTTAGGGAGGCTGAGGCGGGTGGATCACCTGAGGTAAGACCAATCTGAAACCCTGTCTCTACTGAAAATACATAAATTAGTTGGGCACAGTGGCTGGTGCCTGTAATCCCAGCTACTCGGGAGGCTAAAGCAGGAGAATCACTTGAACCCGGGAGGTGGAGGTTGCAGTGAGCCAAGATTGTACCACTACACTCCAGCCTGGGTGACAGAGCAAGACTCTGTCTCAGAAAACAAACAAACAAACAAACAAACAGTTAAACTTTAAAATTCCTGCCAGTGATGTGTAAGTGATACAGTGTCTCCACATCTTTGCCAGCATTTGGCATTGTCACAATTTGTTGTTTAATTGATTCTGATAGGAGCATAGTGATATTTTATTTGAGTTTTAATTTGCATTTTCCTAATTGCTAATGATGTTAAACCTCTTTTCATGTGCTTACCCGACAATTATACGTCTTCTTTGGCAAAGCATCTCTTTGTCTTTTAAGCTAGTTTTCTGATTGGATTGTTTTTTACTGTTGAGTTTTGAGAGTTCTTTATGTATTCTGAGTATTAGTCCTTTGTCAGACATGTGGTTTGCAAATATTTTCTTTTATTTCATAGCTTTTCTTTTTATCCTTTTAAAAGAGGCTTTTGTTGGGCAAATATTTTTAGTTTTGACAAAGTCCAGATTATCAGTTTGTCCTCTTGTTATGTCTTTGATGTAAAGTCTGAGAAGTCTTTGCCAAGCTCTACATCTTCAAAATTTTCATATTTTTTTCAAAAGTTTTGTGGTTTTACACTTTACATTTAAGTCCATGATTCATTTGAGTTAATTTTTGTATAAGGTGGGAGACTTAGATCAAGGTTTATTTTTTGTGTGTACATGTGGTCAACTGCTTTAGCACCATTTGTTGGAAAGGCTATCTTTCTTTCATTGAATTGTTTTTGTACCTTTGGCAAAAACAATATCGGTTGGGTATATTGTGGCAGATCTGTGTCTGGGTTTTCTGTTCTGTTCCAGTGATCCATGTGTCTGTGCCTCCACCAATAACACATAGTTGTTAATTGCTATAATTATATAACTTGTGAAATTGGGTAGACTGAATCTTTCCACTTTATTTTAAGATTGTTTTGGCTGTTTTGGTTCCTTTGCATTTCCATATACATTTTATAATAATCTTGTATCTGCTAAAAAATTTCTGGGAATTTTGCTAGGAGTTGCATTAAACCTTTATGTCAGTTTGAGAATTGACATTTTTACTGTGTTGAGTTTTCCAGTCCATAAACATGGGAGAAAACATTGTTTTATTATTATGATTTTGGAGATGGAATCTCGCTCTGCCACCCAGGCTGGAGTGTAGTGGCATAATCTCAGCTCACTGCAACTTCTGCCTCCTGTGTTCAAGCAGTTCTCCTGCCTCAGCCTCTCAAGTAACTGGAACTACAGGTGCATGCCGCCATGCCCAGCTGATTTTTTGTAGAGACGGAGTTTCACTGTGTTGCTGAGACTGGTCTCGAACTCCTGAGCTCAGGCAATCCTCCTGCTTTCGGCCTCCAAAGAGCTAGGATTATAGGCCTGAGCCACCGTGCCTGGCCTCAGTCTTTCAATATTAAATATAATGCTAGCTGCAGATTTTTTTATATATGTTCTTTATCAAGTTGAGAAAGTACCCCTCTATTCCTATGTTTCTGAGAGCTTTAATCATGAACGGATATTGTCTTCTGTTAAACGCTTTTCCTACGTAAGTTGATATGCATAATCATGTGTTTTTTTTTTTTTTTTTAGCCTGTTAATATGGTGGATTACATTGAATAATTTTCAAATATTAAATCACCTTTGCATTCCTGGAATAAACCCCACTTGGTCATGGAGTATAATTATTTCTATATGTTGCTGAATTCTATTTACTATTATTTTGTTGTAGATTTTTGTTTCTGTATTTGTGATAAACATAGATTTTTTTTTTTTTTGAGACGGAGTTTCGCTCTTGTTACCCAGGCTGGAGTGCAATGGCATGATCTCGGCTCACCACAACCTCCGCCTCCTGGGTTCAGGCAATTCTCCCGCCTCAGTCTCTGGAGTAGCTGGGATTACGGGCACGTGCCACCATGCCCAGCTAATTTTTTGCACCTTTAGTAGAGACGGGGTTTCACAATGTTGACCAGGATGGTCTCGATCTCTTGACCTCGTGATCCACCTGCCTCAGCCTACCAAAGTGCTGGGATTACAGGCTTGAGCCACCGCACCCGGCCTGATTTTTTCTTTTTTCCCCAATTATTTTGCCTTTAATTAATAGGTCTGGCTGTCAGAATAATTGTATTTTGTCAGTTAAACTTCATCTTTTTCAAATCTTGCATGTTTTGAAAAACAGATACATCCTTCCAGTAAGAGAGATTTTAAAAGTAATAATAAAAACAAATTTATAAAACACATAATAATTATTACTAAATAAGTAACTAATGGACTCCCCTGTCATACTTCATATTGGCTTGATTTAAATTATTATTCATGGGCAGGTGTGGTGGCTCACACTCGTAATCCTAGCATTTCGGGTGGCCAAGGCAGGCTGATCGCTTGAGTCCAGGCATTCAAGACCAGCCTGGACAACATGGCAAAAGCTCATCGCTCCAAAAAATACAAAAACAAGGTAGGCATGGTGGCACATGCCTGTACTCAGGAGGCTGAAGCAGGAGTGTCAGTTGAGCCCAGAAGGTCAAATCTGCAGTGAGCTATGATCACTCCACTGCACTCCATCCTGGACAACAGAGTAAGACCCAATCTCTAAATAAATACATAAATAAATAAATAAATAAAGTGTGTAATAATCTGAAGCAATAAATCCCAGTATATAATGGGGTGTTTAGCTTGCTTTATTTTTATTTTGATTTAGTTCAAAATATTTTTTTCTTTTTTCTTTTTTTATTCAAAACTCATGTCACTTCAAGTTCAAAATATTTTGAACTTTCTCTTGAGATTTCTTCTTTAACCACTATATTATTTAAAAGTGTTTTATTTCCATGTATTTTGAGATTTTCTAGCTATCTTACTTTTAACAGTTTCTAGTTTAATTCGTTACTGAAAGAGAGCAGAACATTGTATGATTTCTCTTTTATATTTCTTAGGATGTGTTTCATGGCCCAGAATGTGGTCTCTCTTGGTGGCTGCACCCCG